TACCTTTAAATCCCAACTGTTTAATCATTTCTTATCCATCCAGTCCTCATCATACGATTGTAAATAGTTACTACTGTAAATATGTATATAAATTATTAGATCGTTCTTTATTATTTTTACTTCATGTTTATTTTCAATTTTTTATTTTTATTATTAACTGATGTAAATTAGAAAGTAACTTATAATTTCTCTAAATATATTTTTTTTTTTTTTACTATTTAATCAAACTATACTCTTGTTTATGAATCTCTGAGGCTCCTTAGCCCACATTTTTGTTTCTCTGTATTATTCTAAAGGGACTCTTCCCAGAATAAATAAAGCATTATTATTATTATTATAATTCATCTTGTTGATATATTAATTCGTTTGTAATTAAATTGGATTTGAGTCTTTTTTTTTTATAATTCCATAAAAAATATGAAGGTAATTATTGTATGGTTTATATTTTTTTTTTAAACCGAAAGTGTTTAATTAGACGATCATTTTTGACATGTTTCTAATAAAACTTCATCAAAATTTTCATTTCAGCGCTTTTTATATAATATTCTTGTTAGCCTTTTTTTTGTTTCCTCTCTCTAAAGGTATTATGTTGGCAAAGCAATTTCAGTCAGGCGAATATATAGATAGTGCAGCACTCCAAGGCAATTCAATAGGTATTAAAGGAAAAGAGAGATAGCTTGAACACAGCAAATAAATTATTTACGACACGCAACCTTGAAGTAATATATTTCTTTTATTGAACGTTAAAAAATATGCTAAAACTTCGTAATAAATTAGCAGTGAATATAAATATATATACCACGTTTGTCAAATATTTTTTTTTTTTTAACGCTTAATCTGAACCTAATAAATGGTGGGAGAGTTTGGAGAATGAAGTCATGAATGCGAAACGAAAAAATTATAAATGTGTAAAACCATTTTTTTTATTCAGTATTTCGAATAATGTAAAAAGTAGTATCAACAAAATACCAAAAATCTGTCAAGTACGTTTATAATTTTTTCGAATAATTGTTATACAATGGATTGCAGTTTAGATGTCTCTATGTATCAGCTTCAACAGATTTTGCCCTAAAGAAACAGTAGAACTTCAGTACTCTTACTACTCCTATTAAAATCTCATTGCAAACGGTTAAACAATTAGAAAGAAGTACGTAGAAATAAGGCAACGACAGGAAAACATTTTTTATAAATCCATTTAGGGCGTGATCTCAATATTTTATACGCAACGATTACTAATACTCCTCTTAATTTAATTTACTTATCTTTATTTAGTACTTCTACTGGTGGAGTAAACTAGTCCGGAAAGTGGGCATTATGGTTTTTTTTTTGCCAATGTTTACTAAGAAACTTTCTATTCTATTTTTTAATTTTAAGCAATCAATTATAATTATAATAATTATTTAAAAAAATCTCCGATTTTCTCATAAGTATGACTGAAAATCTTGACTATTTCATGATTGTTCTAGAATAAAGAAATCCCTCCCTTAACTTTACCGAGTCTGCAGACACACTGCAGTCATAAACACCAAAATTCGACTTCTTCGTGCACATAATTCAATGTTTACTCAATTAGGTTAAAACTAAAAATAATAATTTTTAAAATAGATCAATAAAACATGAAAAATTCTGTTTGGACAACCTCAGAATGAATGCATGTAATAATGAAGAGGGCTCAGCTGTTCTTCGGTGAAGGTCACGGTACTGACCTACAATCAATCATCGCCAAGGACTCCTGGCTAAGTTTAGGAACAATCGCAAGTTCTAAAATCGGCGGAATCCATACAGGGAATGGGAACAAACACGTAAGAAGAAACAAAAGCAGGTACCACACCCTTCAAAAAAGGAGACATGGGAATAGTTGCCACAGAAGAAGAAGCCTAGGTATAAAGAGCCAGGGGGCCCAAGTAAAAGTGTAGGCTAAGCAGGTTCCGAGAACCGGTCCCCGGCCAGATATAGATGGCCTTCCCAGGCATTCCGTTCACAACTGTTCCTGCCTCTTCGTGTCTGCCTTGAGTACCGTACCTCCGGAGGTTTTCCTATTCTGAAGGCATGGCTACCAAGGAAGGCTTTCAGAATACTTGGATAGCTAGCGAAGAACTTGTGGAAGCAACTTTTACTTAAAAAGAGTAGAGGGTTTATTAATGTTAATAGGTTTAATAACAGGCGAAGGATTTATTTGAAACTATAATATATATATTTTTTTTATGTGGGTTGTCCCAAGACTTCCATTCAAGTCATATAATGCCCACATTGATATATTATCAAAACGGGTACTGGAGACATTTATGTAATTTATTTTATAAATCTATTCTGCATTCTTCTATGACTGCATCAAGAGAATCATATACCAGTCTAGAACTACCAGCCATTGAAGGAAAGCGCTATGGTTTTGAATGAAAGGGTATTGTTTCCGGTAGTTATCGTATTTAAGGCATATATCTTTCTTTTTTGTTTAAAATTAAACTAGTGTTGGAGAATCATGGGCGTAGAGAGACGTTAGGTTGGATGGCGTAGAGATTTTCGCCTTTCGAACTCGACTACGAGACGTATCTGTTTTGCTACTATCTAATCCAGTCTTTTTTTTACTCAATTGTAATAAATTGATGACGAGTAAGCATCGCAAATATCAAGTACGGTGAATAACTTCGCAGTAAAAAAATAAAATAAAACGAAGTATGTAAATCCAGACCTAGAATTATGTAACTTACTTACATAATTACCTAATGCAGATGAAGCATGGCTATCCATCTAAAAAGTATACATCTAACTTAATACTCAGGTATTGGGAGCCCGGAGCCTAACAAAAATGGCGTTGTCCCAAACCTGTTAAGCCCTTAAGTATCCTTCACTTTTAAAATTGGACATTTTAAATAAACTATACTTCTTCAGAACGTTTTTTAAAAAATATTATTAATTTATAAAATTAAATAATCTCGTGCCACTAAAATCCATAAGGATCTTGGGTTCGTGACTGGATAAGGTAGTACTGCTTCCAGACATATACTAGAAGGTGGCCGCTGGGTTAATCGTCCAATATATTTTCGTATATGTTTTCTCCCAGAAGGATCTCACTACCCCGGAGCGACCAATGCCTGATATAACAGAATAGAAAAATATCTGCAACAACCGGATTCGTTCGTTTCGGCGAATTTCTACAATCCAAAATATTATTTTCATTTACATGAAACAAAAAAAAAAAAAAAATACAATAATTTTTTAAGTGCAATCAAAGGTAAGCTGAAAGGTGGCATTAATTAGCATTAAGAGCTTTTTTTTGTAAAGCATCGCGATGATCAGTCTTACACAAATATACCAGAGTTGAAAAAACCCACTACATAATACGTTATAACGTCTTTTATTTTATCAGTCAAAAAGTTTAAATATAAAGAATTCCAGTTTTTTTTTTTTTTGGAAATATGAAAAAATATTTTTTGCAATGTTATCATTAATATAGCAGTCAGTCAAATATTTGTTTTTTTAAATTTAATCCAAGTTAGCACTTGTTTAATAATGTCTAGACATTATTACACGGATCTGTATTGAAATTAAACTAACGAAGTCCAGAAATTCTGACATATATTGTATATATTAACTGGAGCTCAGTAAAAATAATATAGAAAGAAAAAGAAATTAAAAATAATTAGCGACACCAAAGAACTTTTTAAACACAAATTAAACTGTAGTCAGCTTCATTCTTTTTTTAAGTCATTAAAACGTTTAATAACCCTGAAGATCATTAGGAGTAGATAAGTTTTTATTTTATTTTAATTTTCAAGAATTTGCAGAACAGATTAGAATATTGATATCTGAAAATTGAATAAAATCTAATCAATGATCAGAAATACGCAAGGCTCACTATAAATGTACAACGAAAGAGATAAATGGGTTTATTAAATTATAGCAAAAAATAAAACGTGCGGTAACAGGTCATTAGACTCCGTCCCTCGAAGAGATAAGAGACATCCGCTAAGACATGTCCCAGCAAAGGGGAGTCATTTTAGAGATAGTGAAATGGCGATTAAAAGAGTAAATATCTCTAAACCGAACAGAAATAATAAATATTTCAAGTTGAACTATCTAGTTCGCCAGAGTAAATTTTAGGCACTTTTTTTTTAATGTTCAAACTTAGAGCAAAACATCAAACAGTAAAATATATATTTATACTACACATTTTTTATGTTATAACAATGATGTGGTATTCGAGCATAATATAATTATGATGGACAAAAAAGAACATGGATAAGCGATCACCTAGATTCGTAATATTATTTTAGTTTTACACCATGTTCTCTTCATCAATTACAGCATCTGGTAAAAACTACAAATTCAAAAATACAAGAAAATAATCAAACATAATGCTAGAAAGAAATAATGATTCGGAAAATAAATTAATAATTAAAAGAGAATAATCTTACACATATATGTATACAACAGTCATAAATGAATTTAATATATTTTTTTTAGCTACAATTCTCTACATTTTTTAAATGAACAGATTTAGAAGATTATCCAAATTTAAATGACAGAAGGTCAGCCAAATTGATAAAAATCTCATTTAATTTAGATCTTGAATGTCAAATTAAAAATAGTGTAATTCTACTGCACACAAAATGCAAAGATCTTGGAATCAATTAAATATATTTTATCAAATGTAATATAACTAATAAAGATAAAAAAAAAACACATTATCGAATAAAAATTATAATAAAAATTCAGGAGAACTGAAAGTTAAAACTGAATTTTATGTTCTTGCATAATGTATAAATTTAAAAACTACGGCAACATCAACATAAAATGAAAATGAAAATAGTAATTACATTAAAAAAAAATTGAATACCATCTTTCCATGGAATAATCGGTATGAGTTGAAGAATTATAGTAACAATACCAAGGACGATAACAAAATGATCCCGAATTTATACATTTAAATTGTTTATCCTGCATTTCTTGCCGAATAGGATTAATGTAAATAATATCTAAGATCCACAGTTTCTACTTACAATCTCTTAAACGATCTGAAAAAAAAAAACACAATAAATTAACAGCTTCAAAAAGAAAAAGACTCATTCCAAAGAGAGGCACTTTAATATTTTATTACGCTATTAAAATGGACTATAATCAATCTAAAATTTCTTTACAATACTAAGGATAATATTTATTTAAAAAAAAAAGTCTTTACACAAATTATTATATTATAATATTACTTACGGATCACATTTATGAAAAGAAAAAAATCCTTCATATTAAAAAGTATTAAAATTTCAACACAAAACTTTTGAAACATAGTGATACAAAAGTACTTTTTGAGAAGGATTCAGAATTGTAAAATGTACACACATTGAAAAAATCATTTAAAGAATCAGAACCGCAAAACAGTTACTTTTTTTATCGACTAACAAAATTGTAAGCATAGAACTTTCTTCAACAAACACAAAAAAATATTTCAAATAAAAACCTGAAGTCTCCTTCTAAATCAACTAACTACATATTTTTATAGTAAAAAGCAAAATGGTCGAAAATGTTAAAGGACCTCACACGAATTTCCAGACATGGAAGAAGCAGTTGAAACGGTAAAACAATTTTTTTTTTCAAGGAAATTAATTTTTGAATTCGTGCAAGAATAAAAAGGAAATTCTAAACTAATATTAGAGATAGTAATAGATAGAGGATTATTATATAATTTTATGATTAAAATCATTAGTATTATTATTACTTTATACTCTAGTAATAAAAGGATAACTGCGTTTCGGACATTTTTCATGATACATTAATAATAAAAACAGTTTTAAGAGCTGTTATTATTGATAAGCTGCGATAATACTTGAAAGCAAAAGAATTATTCAAAATAAAAAAAAACTAGAATTTTTTACGCTGTCAATAAATATACTGTAATTGTTTAAGAATTATAAATATATTTAAAATCAAACAGACAAAATACTCTGAATTATTTTAAGCTATTTCGGGAGTGTAGAGTCTGTGTGATGGCGGATGACCACTATGATTTAGTCGACGATATTGCATTACATTTATGTGATTCTTAGCTCAATGTAGGAAGGTTTTTTTCGAACTTGATATTTTCATTATTTACAAAGATAAGTTAAAAGTACTTTAAAGCTTGACTTGAACCAGACGGGTTCAAGGATAGAAGTCGGAGGAACGTTCGAACGGGACCCCAGGCGTAGGTCACTTCCTTCTGGTCAAGGATAAATTCATCACTATGGTTGGGTAGTGTGTTTTAAATTTTGAATATATATATACACACACAATAATATTTTTAGTCACCAATAAACTCATAATTAGGGTGATAAATTAGTATGAAGTTTATATCTTTGTTTTTCGTTTTAAGATTTAAACAAAATTCTATTTTAATAGAAGTTTATTAAATAGCATTTTTTTTTTTTTTAACACTAAACCAATCCCCGAAAAAAGAAAAAAATGCAATTATCATTAGAACTATTACTATCGCATTTGACAAACGATTAAGTTATCAAGTATAAGGATAAACAATAAAAGCGAACTTCATTTTCAATGAGATAGCTTTAGAAAACGTTAAGTATATAAATATATATAACAGTAAATTGAGAAGAATAGATCACAAACATATAAATAAAATAAATGTTTTTCTAAAAATCGCTACAATATGATCAAGTTTATAACATTTATTCTCAAAATTGGATTTGGTTCATTTTGATATTTAACAAAATAGATTGAGCTCAGCTAAAAATTATATACAATTACAAATGAATAAAATATAATAAGTCAGCAAATTCATTCAGAATAATGCTTTAGAATCAGTTTATGAAAAATACTTAGACAATATATTGAAAATAGTAAATTTAACTGTCAATATTTATTCAATTACGATTAAGAAATATGAAATTATCCGAAAAGTGTAATAAAAGGTAGTTAAATTTACCTATATATTAAAATTTAAATAAAAAAATTATTGACGATTCCTTAAACTCACAATTTTTTTTCCATTAGTACTAAAAATGGTTTAATCGAATCTGAAGGCATTAATAGAGCAAATTTAACAGATATGGGTGCTTTATGAGGAACTTGAAATTTCTCTGGAGTCTTCATACAGACTGAAGAGAAAGCCACTAGAGATCCATTGATTGATGAAGTGTTATTAAATTAAACCCAATCTTCATTAAAATATTTTTTTTAAATACAAATATATAATTTTATCATAATTGAAAAGAATAAATTTATTTGAAAGGCAATCCGAAAACATTTTATAATTTTCAGTATAAACGAGGAAAATATATGTTATTTTGAGTTTTAAAAATGTTAAGTAAATTGAAGTATTTTATCTTCTTTCTTTTTTTTTTTCAAAGCGAGCATCGTACCGCTTGCGTAATAGGAAATGGAAATTATGAACATAATTCACTGTTTATCGGGAATTCAAAATTACTTAATTGTACATATAAAATTCACATTGCTTCCAATCTCCTAATTTATAGCTAAGTAGTTTGCAAAGGACATTGACAATAGGTCAAAGGTGATAAATTCTACAGAGATAGGACAAAAATAAAACTAGCTATAAAACGGAAAATATGTTAAGTTTTTTTTTTTCTTCACAGGTCTTAAAAATACTGTTGCTTTTGTTTTAAAGTTAGTTGGGCTCCAATCCGACCTATTTTTAAGCGATCCGGGTAGTGCAGGAAATATTTATTGATACAAGTGAGAGCATTGGAACGTGTACAAAAAGGTAACCAGCTGGCTTACGTCAATGATCAAAAGTTTGTTTTTAGTTTGATCAGCAAGGTTCACATAATGCAGAAGGTGATTTTACAGTGAAGGTTTTCTAAAAATCGAACGTTTCAATTTATAATTTACATGCATATATTTTTTAAGCAATAATTTCGGAAAAATAACAGCTAACAAGTTTGGATTGCTAAACATGCACCAAGATGCTAAAACAATTTATAATTAAATCACTTAAAAAAACAAACTAAAATCTCACGAGTGGGGGGCACATCGATTTCTCAGAGGGTTTGTTGTCAACATCAACAACAAACATCTGTTGACATTTTGATCGAGAAACGTTGAGTCAAATCACTAATCCAAGGCAATATACAGGACAAAAACTTAGAGATGATCCACATTGACCACACAACAAGAGGATTGCCTCAGCTTCCGGCCTATTCTACGTTTATTTACAACTACAATGGTCAGCAGCCGGAGGTCTCAGGACAAAATACAATTCGATTTCCTGTATATCAAATGATATGAGATAATTCAAAACCGAAATTTTTCAGAGGGGGAAATTCAAAACAGAAATATTTCAATGTGTAATTTGTCAATAGAAAATATTTGTCAACAGGTTTATAAAATGAATCATGTAAACAATTGACCATATGCAATTATTAAACTATCTACGATTAAAGGACAGCTGCCTTTCGGAAGAAAAATGTATTAGTATCTCAATTTTTAATTTCAGATCTATTAGAATGCAATAAGGTCTTAATGACCCCAAAAATATAAGCTTGTATTAAATATACATAAATATATATAAATTTATATTAAGTGATTTTTTTTTTCATAAATGGATTTCAACAAAATGAAAATTTAATTGAAATAATTCTAAACAAAAACATGAATGTGATTTTTTTTATACTGTTATTTTTTTGTATAGATAAGTTTCCCAGATGAAATAGTGGAAAAACCATCAACAAATGGAAATTATTGAGTAGGGCTAAGATGTAATTAAAATTATGTCTAGAGTTGTAACATTTGCAACCATTGTTCTATTTTGTAAATTAATCAACAAAAATTAATATATGGAGGGGGTAAATGTTTAAACAAGTGTGGTTAAATAAAAAAAAAGAAATCAATGAATAAAAAATAAAAATAAAATGTAATGTAATAGGATATCACTACACTGAACATTGAACACATGTACCAGCCTATAGCACTCAAGTATTTGCTCACCGAACATCACCCCAATTTACCCTACAATATCCAAACCCCCTTTCATAAACAAAAAAACTTACATCCACTCAACGCCCCCAATCCCCATTCCACAGCTCTCATCTCCTCATCCTCATAACATCCACATACATTCTTTTCCTCCCCACCATCCAACAACACTCCCCCATCCTTCCCCCCAACATCATATTTCTTTCTCCCCATTCCCCAACATCACCCTCAACTATCCCTCCAACCTCCAACATCTCCCTCCCCCCCCCCCCTACATAACAACAACACAATCACTCACCACATACATCCCCCCATCCCATAAAAATTACCACCCCCTTCAACACCAAATACACAATCACTATCCCACCCCCCCTCTCCAATTCTATCACCTAACCAACCCTTACAACCCCCCACCCTCACCCATCATCACCAACCCCCCCCAACAAACCCCCTCTCAATCCCCTACTAACAACCAAACACCAACCAAACCCAACCCCTCACCTCACCCTACACCATCAACAAAAACCAAAAACCCAAAACCCAACAAACTAACTTCCCCCCCATATCATCCACTCCCTACACCACCCCCCACCACACAATCCCACCACCAAACAACACAAACAACCCACCCAAAATATAACATAAAACACCCAACCCACAACCCCAACACAAAAAAACACCAACCAAACCATCCCCTTTCACTCCCCAAAACCACCCATTACACACACCTATACCCACTTCCCTACCTATCACATCAAAACCCCAACTATTCCCAACACCCCCCCCCAATATCAAATAAACACCCCCAACCCCCAAAAAAGGAAAAAACGAAAAATGAATTGCTTACCTTTCTGCATCTTCTCCTGGTTCATCTCCTGGAGCAGTAACTTCATTTAAAGATTCAATGAGAGCTGCTGTTGGATTTTCTGGATGTTCACCATTTAATAATGGATGTTCCATCATCAACGCAGATGGAACAGATGAACTTGACATTCCATGAGTATACGACTGAGCAGGAGAACTTACACCAGCATAACTTTGGGCTGGCTGTGGAGGAGGTTGTTGTAGAGGAGGCTGTTGTTGAGGTGTTGGCTGCGGTTGTGGCATCGACATTGGTTGTTGCATGGACATGGGCATTGACAAAGGCTGATTTGTCTGAGACAAATGAGGCATTGTATATTGCACAGATGACGGTATTGGAGGTGTTTGTGGCATACCTTGTACTTGCATAGGCTGAGGGACAGATGCTGAAGGATAAGTTTGTAGCGGTGGTAAATTAGGAGTAGAACCCTGCATTGACACTTGTGACATTCCTCCCTGTGTCATCATACCTGGCTGTGATGTAATTATGCCAGTGGGCATTTGTTGTGTTGTTTGATAATACTGTGGCTGTAGATGAGGTTGGGACTGTATATTCATTATAGGTTGGGGCTGCATACCAGGCATCATTTGGTTTGTTTGATATCCCATTTGAGGATGCATTTGTGGCAACATTCCAGGAACCTGCTGCTGACCTGCTTGAGTCATCACAGGTTGTTGTGTTTGTTGCATTGCTTGAGAATATGGCACCTGATGCATTTGAGAAGGTTGTTGTTGCATTTGCTGCAAAGATTGTTGCATCATTTGTTGCTGCTGATTCTGAGTTTGTTGAATTGGCATTTGTTGAACGCCTGGCTGCATCTGTACCTGTTGAACAGGCATCTGTGTCTGCAGAGTCTGCTGTGGCATTTGTTGCTGCATCATAGGCTGTTGCGGTTGCTGTAATGTTTGAAACTGTTGTTGAGGAATAGGCTGTTGTTGAGGCATAGTTTGTTGCTGTTGAGTCATTGGCTGTTGTTGTTGAGCCATAGTCTGCTGTTGTTGGGGCATAGTTTGTTGTTGGGGAATAGTTTGCTGTTGCTGTGGCATGCTTTGTTGTTGCTGAGGCATGCTCTGTTGTTGCTGAGGCATGCTCTGTTGTTGCTGAGGCAAGCTTTGTTGCTGTTGAGGCATACTTTGCTGCTGAGGCATTTGTTGTTGTTGTTGTTGGGGCATAGTTTGTTGCTGTTGTTGAGGCATAGTTTGTTGTTGTTGTTGCTGCTGTAAGGGTTGCTGCTGCTGTGGCATTGTCTGCTGTTGCTGCGGTTGAGGTATGTTTTGTTGCTGAGGGATTCCTTGGGGTTGTTGAGGAAGAGGTTGTTGTTGTTGAGGCATTGTTTGAGACTGAGGTGGAATTGACTGCTGTTGAGGTAAAGGTTGCTGTTGGGACATAGCTTGCTGTTGCTGAGGCATTGTCTGTTGTTGAGGCAAATTTTGTTGCATTGCTTGCTGCTGCAGAGCTTGTTGTTGAGTCAATGATGGTTGCTGAGTTAATGTTGGTTGAGGTTGTGACACAGCAGCTTGCTGGGGAAGGGTCTGCTGCTGTGGTAACGATTGTTGCTGAGGTATTGTTTGCTGTTGTTGTGGTATAGATGGTTGTATTGTTTGTTGCTGTGGCATAGGTGCTTGTTGTTGGGGCATTGTTTGCTGTTGTTGAATATTTTGCTGAGGTGGCATTGCTTGTTGTTGAGGCTGATACTGTTGATTGGTTTGATGCATCTGTTGCATAGTTTGCATAGGTTGTTGCATAACAGGTTGCTGCTGTTGCATTGTCTGTGGTATAGGAGCCTGCTGCTGCTGCATAGGCATAACATTAGCCCCAGAAAGAATTTGCTGCATTTGCTGTGACTGAAGGCTTTGATGTTGGCTCGTGTTTCCCAGAATCTGCTGCATATTTACTTGTGATAAACTTTGAGATTGCTGTGAAACTTGAGGAGGAGGTGCAGATGAATTAATAATATGACCCATTTGCATACTATTCTGTAGAGACTGCCCAGGAGAAACAGATGGGTAAGATGCAGGCACAGTCGATGGTACACTACTTAAGGGCATTTGACTATTAACTTGACTATCATTCGGTTGCATGTTTAATGGTGCACAATTATTAATAAGCTCAGTAGGAACTGGTACTTGTGACTCAAGTGGTGAAACTTCTATAACAGAGTTAACTGATGATGTATAGTCAGATGGGGCAGAATTAGGAATATCTGTCGCTAAGCTGACTTGTATATTACACTCACTAGATTCAATTTTAGCACTACTAACTTGAGACTGCTCTTTTTGTGCAATATTATGATCGAGATAGTCCATACACACCCAACGACCACGTTTAAACGGTTCAGTACTTTCAATTTTAACAACTTTAAACCTTTCAGTACGGGGAGCAGGGGGATGCATGTCTCTCATTTCAGGATCATGTTTAGTACTCACTACACCTAAGTTTATAACACTTTCTGTCACATCAACACCAGTTGTATCAACAGTATCACTATTTCCACTACTGTCTGGGGGATTTAATGCACTTTCACTATTTTCTGGAGTAGCAACAATTGCTAAACCATACTGTGAACTGGTAGGAATCACAGGGGCAGAAACTAAAGAGGAAGATGCATTGAAGAAAACATCATCTTTAGAGAACGTATCTTCAGAATAGCTAGGAGTTTCGTTCTCTAAATCAGTAATTCGAGAATTATCTAGTACTTCTGAAATGTCTTCAGCATGAGATTCATCTAAATCATCAGCTGAATCATCACCACCATCGTTACTTGTTCTTGACCCAACGATAACACTAGTGATTTGGAATGAAGTTTTTTTCCTTGGTGCAGTCGAGGATAATGAATTTGGTGAATTCACTACTTTTTCTGAATCGTTCAACCGCAAAGTTTCACTAGTTGTACGATTGATTGAATTAGTTAACTTACCTTTTTCTGAGATTTTAGACGTTAATACACTTGCACTGTCAGCCATGATAGTCCAAACACAACTTCAAATTAAACTAACCACTTCACAAATACGGGCCATATTGTATGGCCCATATTATATTTACGACTACAAAATATTTACTATCACAGTGATATCACGCACTTTAATGATTCTGAACTACTTCAGCGGTAAAATGAAGAGCTTTGGCTAGATCGTCCATAGCCTCGGCCTTGAGTGAATTAAGCAGTCCTACAATAATATAACCTCCCGTTCACGGCCTTACCAATTGGTTTTACCAAAAGTTGAGTTTTGTTTTATTTTTTTTAAGTGAAACTTAAAATATTTATCCATATTTGTTCAAAGCTTTTATATTCAAACTTTTTTTTTCTCAACTTGGCACATATGTTTCATCAATACATGTAATCAACATGAAGCGAAAATTAGCCCCGCCATTTTTACTTTCAAGAGGCCGGGAATGAAACTTTAAGTAACTTTATTCGGTAATCCGCCTGATTTATTTAGAATTTAGACTGTCATTAATTCAATTTCGAATTAGCAAAGTTAGAAGACCTCATTGGAATGGAATCAATATAGTAAAATGCCATATTATATTTTTTTCTTTTTTATTTAGACAAATCATCTTAATCAATTCATTTTTAGATTATTGCATTTTTACAATAGTAAAAATGAAATATAAAACTGTTTATTGTTGGACTTTTCAAGAATACAATAGGGAAGAAATAAATTTGTGAAAGTAATGTATAATTTAATCTGTAACAAAATAACACCAGATAAAAATTATTCAATTAGTCTTAAACATACATACAGTCTCATGCCTTTTCCAGTTATTAAGATATATTTATTAACTTACAGCAAATTCTAAGTTCTAGTTTTATTATGATCACTTATTTGAAACCATTTTTCAAAACTAAATATTTTAAATATTTTTTTCTCTATTTATTTTCTTATTAAGTACATCACTTTTTTTTTTTTTTTTAAAGGAACTAATTTATATTACCTCTGAATCAGGGTTACTTTTCAAACCATCAAGATGGCTAAGATAAAATAAAGAAATATATATTGGATGTATTATAACGTGCCAATTTTATTAAATCATTCATTATAACAGTAACCTTAATTTATTTTAATGGAATAGTGTCATGATTATTTAAGTAATAAAAAAAGTTTTAGTATCTAAGAAAATAATTTTTGCCTGATGATTTCTGTTTTATTTATTATTAGGATAATAATTGTATTAGTTTTAAGAAGAAAAATATATATTAATTCTAAATATAAAATAAAATATGTGAATTTATTTAAAAAATATGTATATACATAAAGATGATGGGCAAAGGAATACTCTAAAACCCTCGATTAAACTGTAGTATTAATGAAAGTATATTCAAAACTAAAATTTTAATATTTGTCATTCTAGAAAGATCTATGTTTTATTATAAAACTTAATGTATGAACTTTTTCTTTTTTAATTAATTATTTAGTTCATCCAGTACATGCACAGCATATTTAAAGTTTTAAATATTCTTTCCTTATTTTTAGGAATACTTTTTGTAATATTTTTCACTAATAAATTGTTAGTTTATTGCGAAAAGTCACTAAGTACACTTTTGATGAAACTGTTCTATCAAGAACGTTTTTTGTGAATTTCCACTTTACTAATCGATAAAAAACACGCTCAGTGCTCCAAAATGGCACAAACTCTTTTATATATCAAATATAGTTAAAATAAATGCAAAATAATATGATTCCACAAATTGAAAATTAATCTAAGTTCTTAGTTATTTAATGTTATGAAATATCGCCTAATGAATTTTTGCAATAAACTGGTGATATCTTAAAAAAAAAAAAGGAATATTGTTATAAATGCATAGTTTCAATAACACATAAATAAAAAAAAACTGATTGGGTTTCCATCTCCCAAATTAAATTGATGGCGCATAAACTTCCTCTCGCTTGAAATTTGGTTGCTCTTCTTAAAAACAGTAGTAGAATTAGAAAAATCGAAAAAGATATTATACAATGACACTTTCTGTCCCCTGATCTATGTTTTTTCTTTAATTTTCTGGTTTGAAACTTTTCACTCCGAAAATTCATAATCTATCAAAATGTGTTCTTGAAAACTCAAAACTCCATCAAAATGTGCCACACACAAAAATTTTGATGGTGCAACTTGGACCATGAAACTCCCTTCTGGGGACTATTGTAACACAATACATTTCTCCTCAACAGTCTAAAAAAAAAATACACAACATATGTTAATCCTGTTAATTTTAATCCTGAACATTCAAACACCAATATACAAATTATATATTTTCTTCTTGGTTTCCATCTAGTGAAATATCAAATAAATTCATAATTTTAATCTTCTAGCTTACTGGATATTTATTAGTTGACTTTGCAAATAATAAGAGATAGTCTGTGGTGGCAGTTTTGTGAGGTGCTTGTTATGGAGATTCCATAACATGTTCAATTAAGATTTATAGAATCAAATTTAGACTTAAGAAAAGTCTTGAATGATGAACTTCTGGATCAGTGGAATGATATGAGTTCTATGAGGAATCTGAAGAGAAGTAAGATGAAGACTGAGTATACATATGAGGTGTAGCGTCATGTAGAGTTAGAATTTGGAAAATTTGAGGTTGGTGCTGAGATGTGGATCTGCTGGATTGCACTGCGGCAAAGCGTTGTTACATTTTTATCTTGTCAATGTTGATCCCATTTTTTTTCGTGTAATTTTAGTTATTTATTAGTTGAACATTTCTCTACTTCTAAGTTATTTCAAATTAGTGCATTGGAGGATCCGTACTTGTCTCTTATTTATAGTCTGCAAGTCAGTCATTTGTCCATTCCTTTTAAACTATCAATTTCAACTTTATGATGGTAAATTTTTCAGAATTATCATTGCAGTTATTAAAAAATGTATCACAAATGTATTGTCAGTTTTAATGCCCATTAAAATCAAATGAAAGTGTATATTTCCAATAATAAACTTTAACACTGTATGATCAGCTTAATTTTGTTTTTAATCACACCTTAGTTATAATAGATCCAAAGAGATCATAAGATAGTTTTTAGTAATTATCTTCAGGGATTTGATAAATTCAATGTTAGAAATACTACCTGAATTTTTATTTTTAAACGAGAAGCAAATAAAAATTAAGACCTATATCTTAAATTAAAACAGCATTTTTTAATATTACTACTATTTTATTGAAAAATATTGTGAGATTTTAAATTTCATGAATGAGAGACAAAAAAAATTATAGTATTGAAGTGTTAAGATGAATATCATAATCATTTAGCATACCATGAGGAATGAGAATCTAAAATTTATTACAATATTGAATGACAGAATAATCTTATAATAACCTTTAAAATATTTACATCAGCAAAAAAGAAAAAGAAATTCATCCCCTGTTTTTATAATTTTTAAAGAATTCATTTTTTTTTCTTGTTTTTATTTTTATGTTTATATGATTTTTGGGTTTCATAATTATTGATCCATCCAAATTTCCAAAAATATGCTAAAAACATTGGAAATCATGAAACCTGAGATTAGGAAGGAGCACAATCTCTGTAGGTGTAAATATTTATTTTCAGATAATCACCTCAGATTAGTGATAAAACAATAAATAATACCTTCAAGAAACTTACCAGCATTTTTCGAGAGAGACGGTGGTTCTCTCAGGTAGTGGCCGAAATTTCATTTCATTGAAAAAGTATTTTTAGAGTATGGCTGAAAGTGAAAAAGATGCTACGAAGACAAACCCTCCGACAAGATTTGAGGTGTATTGTAAGAAACTTGGTATTAATCCAAATCTTGTAATGTTAAAAGTAACGCTGTTCATAATGTATGGAGGTGAATATAAAAAGTAAAAAGGTGGTAAAGTATTTTTCTGGATAAAACATCTAAATTCTATTTTTTTTTTCCTTCTAGCCAATGCATCATTAATTCCATTCTTGACAATCCATATGCAAAGCATCGGTTTAACAGTAGAAGAAATTGCAATAATCTACCTAGCGTTGCCCTTAACAACATTTTTAAGTCCTCCTATTACAGGTAAGTAGTAATTATAAAAGACAAGTTTTTAATTTTCATACAAAGACCCCATTTAAAAAATATATTTTTATGTATGAGTTTTCAAATTTTATATTTGAAGGAATTATTCATATAAACACCTTAATTTCTATCATTAAAAGTAGTAGATTTTTTTTATTATTAAACTTTGTGAATATAAAAAAAAAAAAAAAAGGTTAAGTAGTTCTTAACTTCAAATTAATTGAATGATATCCATTATAAGAAACTTATTTGTTTAAAATTTTTAATCTCAAATTTCTGTAACAATCTCAGGAATGTTTCAGATCATTTTACTATTGTTTAATGAGTCTTCAACACAATATCAATATGTTCTTTTTCTTTTATTTTAGCCAATTATATTTGTTAAGGTATAAAAGTTTTAAGTATATAAGAGAAGTTGATATTGGGGATTGCAGTCATGAAATTAGACAAAAATAAATAAAATAAATATGATATTTATTTTTATCTATTTCCATTAATTTAATTTAATAATTATATTTAATTTTAAATTATTTACTTCTTTAATTTTTTTTCTGTACTTCTATGACTGCAATTTCCTACTTATTTCTCTTATAAGAATCAACAGTCAGCAATTTATCAACCATCAAAAAATTGTTAAGATATTTATTATTTGGAAAAAATTATTTAATTCTCAATCTCCTGCCTACGTTTTTAGCTTTCTAATCAACTATCCTTTATAATGAAAAATTAAGTTTTCAGAATGCTCCAAAAATGTTTTTCTTGTTCTCACATTTCAGCTATTGTATCAAATTTCCTATTATTGGTTCATAAATGCTCTGAAAGTTTCTATTGTGAGTTTTTGAACTGTCATATTAGATCAGAAAAAATATTTTATTACATAGAAAGTATTGTCTATTAGCATGACATAACCATTGGCTGCCATCATGGAATTTTTTTTTCTCACAAGTTTAATGAAAAGAGATCCATATTTTAGTATTGTGAAATATGAGAAAAAAATGGTAAAATTCCAAACAGTTTTTCAAAAATTGCAATAAAATTTGATTCTGTTTCATTTGATTATTTTATTTATTATAATCTTAAATGCTAATCAACAGTTAAGTATAGATGATTTAATGATAATTATTTTTGCAGGTTTCCTTGTTGACAAGTTAGGACACTACAAGTCGGTTGTAGTAATTTCACTTGTTCTCAATGGTTTATTTCATCATGCTTTGGTATTAATTCCACAAATGGAAATTCCAGGTGAAGTTCCAATTGCTTATGTACTAAGGCATCCTGAGACTGGAAAAGTTGAAGTAAGATCGATCCTATTTATTTATTTTTCATAAATAAATAATACATTTATGCCATAGTTATCAAGCATTTTTGAATATTGAATAGAAATTTTGAATCTCTTACCATTTTTCATCAAATTTCACATTATAATAATTTTTCATAAATGTAAATTCAATATTTATAATTAAGATTTAATTAGCATACCAGCCCTTTGAAGTTATAATATTCCATGCAATAAAATTTTCTTTAAAATGTTGCAATAACTATTAAACTATGAAAATAAAGAAATACAAAAATTAAAAATTGAATGCTATGGTTAAAAAACCCAATAAAACTAATTATTTATTCAACACTATAGTATTGTAATAAATGATAAGTTAATAAAATATGGAAGAAAAATAACTTTTGTTGTTTGATTTGTACTAGTATAATTATAATTAACATAAAAGAATAAGTTTTTAATTTTACGTAAAGAAGACAAAATGAAATTCTGCTTGTACTCTGAAAACTAATTGGAATAAATGTTAAAAAAAGTAATATTATCATTGATTTAGAAAAAGCTCTATCAAAGCAAATTCAATAAACTAATTGAAATTTAAGGCAGGATAATTAGCTTCAATTTTTTTCTTCATTACTAAAAAAAATAACTAATTATTGTTCCTTTAATAATTTGTTTCAATTTTTTCCAACTCAAGGTTTTTCATTATTATCTTTTTAATATTTAATTAATTTTCTTTTTCAAATATTATTTTATGTTTTTGAAGAAAGATCAATATCTTTACATTACATTATTTAATAATATACATTTGAATCCATTGGGTAGGTATCAATATAAGTATGAATATGTAGTAATTTATATAGAGTATGGAATATTAATAATGTAAAATAATTACTATTTACAAATGAATATACTGTAAATTAAATAAGCAATAATTAATTTAAAAAGAATTTTCTATACTAATATAAATGCAAATTTAGCGATTATAATTACATAGCAATTGATTGGTCAATTATTGTTTTGTCTTAAATTATGTTTTTTAAAACTATTCCTGTGAATTTTTGGAGATTTTATATTATTTTTTTACTAAAATATTTTTATATTCCTGAAATTTTACATTTTGAAATGACCCCATCAAATTGATGTTTTTGGTAAACCTAGTGTTGAAGGCAGTGATTTATCTCACTACTGTGTAATATTTATCAAACCTTCAACCCTTAACAAAACACACTATGTAAACTGTTTTCTTAAGATTAAGATAAGACTTTATAAAATCTCCTTTCCTCTACAGTGTAATTATAATTTATTCCTTTATAAGGATGAGAGGTTTACTTTAATCATGCAATAAATTTTATTAAAATTTGTTTTTAAGGTCTGGTGGAGCCCATGTCCAAGTAGAGAATGTCCCGAAGAAGAAGAGTTAAATCTAGTGTTGGATGATTGTTTGGATCATTGTCCTTTGAAGAATGTAACTTTAAATAGACCAAATTTGCTAACTGGTGTCCATCAGAGTATAGCAGTCAGGCCTCCGACATTTTTAAACAGTGGAAATGGGGTATTCGCTCAAGTTCTAGTTCATATTAAGATTTTTACCTATTTTTCATTAATTGAAACAAAGTATACATTGCAACAAAGTATACGTTTTTTATGGAACTTTGCCAACTTTATAGCAAAGCTTTCTAGCTGCATTGGAAAAATAATTCTGCAACATCTTTATTTATTTTATCTATACTGGGAACTTCTAATAGTAGTATGGAATTGTCGAATGGATTCCTTAGTTGTTTTATGCCCTGCCCTTTCTAACCTACTTGCCTTCATATAATGAAACTGGCAATTCTGTATTATCATGATTAAAGACAGTGACTCTCCATTTCTTCATAAGTTCTTTTCCTCCAATTATTAACCCTCTGGCAGAAAGAGGGAAGATAAGTTTAGAGAGCAGTGATACAGTGACATTGAGAAGACAAATCATCCCTTTATGAAATCAGAAAATTGTATGCTTATTGTAACTGTATTCGGTATATAAAAGGATTTGTGTCGTTTCCATGTATTTGCAGTGATTTTATATTGAAAAATAAAGTCGAAATTCACAAAAAGCATATTTGAAAGTTAACCTATATCAAAAATGGACTTAGTGTATTCGCAATAAACCACTGATATATATAAGTATTCATAAATTATATTTGTGAATATGAAAACAATAATATGATTGGTTTTGTTGAATCTCAATATCCACTGAAAATATATATTATTAACAGTCGAGAAAATAGTATTTTTAATTAAAATTTTATCTGTGTTTGTTTATTATTTATTCATTTACATAATTGATTCATTCCATTCAAATAATTTTTTCATCAGTTTGATCCTTGACAATTGGGAAAACTCCTTTTACTCAGGACACTGCTACTTTAGTCTGTGGCTAGCCAGTGACACACTGGCTGCTCTGTACCTCTGCCTGTCACAGTTGGGCCTTACCGGTACTCTGTCACTGGCACAGTCAGAGCAGAGCAATGGAGCGGTGGCCCTTTTTTAATATCTACTGACAATTCATTTGTTCATTCATTTTTTTTACCTTGGACCAATTAATATTTGTAGTTTCTATCTTTTATAGCCATGATGAAGACCTAAAACATAGATTGAAACATCGGCAAACCAATAAAATACTATTATAATATATAGTATTATATTTATTTATTTGAACCATACTGTGCCATTGAGGAAATATGGGTTTTGCAGAACTGGGTTGTTACACTTGATTGCATAACTAACTGTGATGAGACCAATTTTCATATCGCGATCAGCTGTTCATGGCTTCTTATTCTTACTATGTAATTATAGTATTATATATTGATCGCACCCCCCAACTTCTCAAAGTTATATATTTTTTTTTATCTTGATTTAAAATTCAGCCCTTTCAGACCTCCACTAAGTCTCATTAGCTTCATTGAGACTAGCACTTATTCCCTCAGGCTAGTGATGAAAAAAAAAAAAAAAATGTTCTATAAATGACACTTCAGTTGAGAAATTTTTTAAGAGAAAAAAAATCATGCAATAAGTTTGTAGCAGCTTTGTGTTTGAGCGATTTACTAAATTTCATATTTTTTAAATAGCTTTTAAATTTTACTAAGTAATCAAAGAAATTTTTGTGGGCTGCATTGGTGGAACTTACTGTGTGGATCTGGTCCACAGGCCGTGGTTTTGAGACCTGTGATCTAAAATATTCTAATCATTAAAAGTTTACTTTATTTTTAAGGATAAAACAGTAATAAATAAATATTATTTACAGTATTGTCAATTTACAATAATTAAATATTTAATGACAATTGACAAATATATCACTTCTTTTTTTATTTTAGCCTGGCTGTGCTATAAATCCTGGAAAGGATGGAAACACCAAAAACCAAGTACCCACATGGGGTATACTGCCTGAAGATCTCAGATTTCACTTGGAAAAACAGAAACACAATCATACTTTATTGTACGCTATTGCTTAAATAATAGTTTTCTTCCTTTTTTTTAAATTTAATTTTATTACTATTAGCGATGTCATTTCTAAATTATAAAATAAAATTGTAGTGTTAAAAAAAAAGGATCCAAGAATAAGAATAAAATAAATGGCACTTTGGTTACTAAAAGCACTGAGGGTCCACGCCGCACTCCAGTTGTCCTCAATAATACTACACCATCCCCTGAAGAAAAAGCTGCTTTATTTGTTATTGATATGCATGCGGATTTAGGAGATCCGAAGGAACATTTAGGTAACAGGGACATCAATAATACAATAAAATATGCAAGTTTATTATTAATGAATAAATTCCTTTAATTCGATGTTGTATTGTTTATTATTATTTAGGAATGGAAATAGAAGAAGACGAAAATGAAATAGTCACTGACTTCCACCAACATTTTGATCGGGAATTGCTATTAGCTGCAGGAATAAATTATACAGAACTTATGGAGTCAGATCTTCGTTGTGGCGGATTTGTAATGGCCACTAATCTTACTTATAATACCTTGAAGGAATTAGCAGCTGATTGTATGCTACAAATCTGTTCTTTCAGGTATTGATTTTGGTAATTTTTTTTAAATTATGGGACCTTAAATTTGGAAGTTCCAATTATACTTTTGTATTATACAGGTTATTCTTTTATTGATTGATAAACAAGTTCTTTGAGAATCAGCATGATGCATGATCTATCTTATGTTTACATTATTCTTAAGTTATGATAAATTTTGTTCATTCTCTAAAAGTCTATAACATCTTTTTCCTATCTTGAATAGAACTATTCTATTACCTTCTTATATACTTTCAACTCTTCTTTGCTAAGGCTGTTATTGATACATAACTGTTCCATGTGAAATGAAGCTCCAAAACCAAATGTGACAAAGATGCAGAAGATCACTATCGAGCCATAGCTCATCAGGAACAGCCAAACGTATTCAAATCGCAATATTCTAAAAATTGATAAATGATTATTATTTTTTTTTAAACTCTTCTCATATTAATTGAAATTGATTACTTTTTTGTTATTTTTTTGGGAGTGGGGTGGCCTTGTGGAATTTATCCTCCACCCACTCCTCTGGCCTATGAAAACTTCATATAGCCGAAAAGGCAAGGAAAGGGAGAAAAAAAATTGGTGTTTTATAATGGTGATATCATTACATATTAATTAGGTTTCTTGGAAGTATTTGTTTTAAATGATTTTTTATCAATGGAGGTATGATTATTATTTATATATTTAGAAATTACACTTTCCTAAAAATTAATCCTTTGAAAACAAACTGTTTGCTTTTCGACTTTGAGATTTATAATAGTTGACTGCTTTAAGTAATTTAATTTAGAAAAATATGATTATTAAAATTAATAATAAAAAGAAGTCTGTTGTTTGAAAAAGGTGCTGTTATGAGGTGAATACTTAAAAATAATTATTTATTATCATGAAATCACATTTTTCAGACTTCATAGATTATAGCATTAAATATTACTTATTATACTACTACTAAAACTTATCAGGTTGTCTGGAAAATAATACAGGATTTAGGTATAAAAAGAAAGATTTACTAATGTTTTATTTAATCAAAATAGTCTCCACTACTATCAATACATTTCTGCCAACATGTTGGAAACTTTTCCATTCCCTCAGAATAGAATTTCCCATCTTTAGACTTGTTAAACTCCAAAACACATTTTCTAATTCCCTTTGTCTATTAAATGTTTCGTAAGTAGTGGTCCAGGTGTCTAAAAAAATGATAATCCGTAGGTGAGAGATCCGGAGACTAGGGGGGGATGTGTTAGAGTTTCATATCCAAACTCCAACACTTTTGTGACGTTCTCCAGGATTTAAGAAGCTGTAGTGTATCAAAGCAAATAAATCCCACACCTTTTTTTGATGAGTTGGGGCTTTGGAAAATGTTCTACTGCTTCTCCTTTGTTGAGCTACTGTCCAGAACGTCTACTTTTATTGTAAAGTATCCGCTTTTCTCCACAAGTAACAATTATGGACAGAAAAGAGTTGTTTTTGTTTCGGCAAAGAAGTATAACACAAACTTCAGGTTTTTTTTGTGGTCGTTTAATGTGAGGAACCCAACTCTTAAGCTTTTTTACCTTTCCAATCATATTGATGTGGTCATCAACAGTCGATTTGCTAAGGTTAAGTTTTTCTGCAAGTTATCGAACAGGGTTTTCTTCCACCAAAGCCTGCAGAACGTCTTCATCAAGAGAGAAAGTCCTTCCATTTATTTGTCTTCAAGGCTGAAGTTTCCCTACCGACATTTTTTGAATCACCATTAAACAGTGCACTCATTAATGCTGCTCTTGTCCCAGACTTAACTGATGTTTCTGGCCATCTGGGCCCCATTCCGTCCGAGTTTACTTGGACTTGTAACACAGAATTATTTGAAAATCACGCATTTACATCTTAGTTAAGACTGAATTATTTTTAAGCAGCAAAATGCTACAGAGGTAAACAAACATTATTGTTTGGAAGAGGATTAATAAGTGTTGACATTCATACGAATGAATAATCCAGTAAACGAAAACAAAGAAAACTCAAAATTCTGCATTATTTTCTGGACAACCCAATATTATCATCATTACACCTCATTTTGTCTTAACAATTGTTCCTTTATACAATATTCTGTGGTTTTCTAATTAAATTTTATTCATTTTAAATTATTATCTTTTGTTTGTTAAACTATTTTCTACTTTTAAATATTTAAAACTATTATTAATTAATATCCACAATGATATAAATTAATTAAAGGTAATAAACAAAGAAGACTCATTTGAATATTATTTAATTCTATATAATTTCAGGGAAGGAGGACCTGAGGTATGTCCACCAGACTATAAAGCATCTGAGGAACATGTTTTTTGGACTTATTTTGTTCTTCGATTTCTTGGTACAACTATGAACTCGGCATTAGTAACTGTTATGGATCCTGTTGCATTGACCATGGTTCAACACTATGGAGGAGAGTTTGGTAGAGAAAGATTATTCTCTATTATCGGCATGGCAATTTTTTCACCAATTACTGGATTTTTAATTGACTACTCAAGTAGAAAACTTGGTAAAAAAAAATTATGTACTTAAATTTAAATTTTGGATAAATTGAATGACGATTTTTAACAGAACTACAACAAATATTTATGTTAAATATTCATGTTTCACTATTATTATTTCCCAGTGTTTAAAATGTTTGACTTTTATATTATGCCCCTCAGTTTAGAATAATAAAAATCAAAATTAACCATGTCCCCTTCCTCAGCAATATTTTATTCTACCAAAAAATATTGGGTAAGTCGATATAATTTAATGTTTGGTTCAATGTTTGATATGGCTGAAACTTGCAAATAAATAATAATCAGTGAAATAGATATTTTTATTTCATTTCGATAATTTTTCCTTGGTTAAATGCAGTGAAATTTAAGTACTGTATTAGTGAAAAAGAAGTACTGTAGAAAGTGCTCCTTTTTCTTGTAACAGTTGGACATAAATTTATTTAAAAAAATAATTACCCAATGGTTCAATTCAATTTAACTATTTTATTTTGAAAAAATCCTTTTTTATCTAAAAATTATTCATAAAAGATGATCTTGAGAAAGAGACTATAATAAGTATTATTAGAAAAAGACATTTTCAGTCTCGATAAATAATTACTTTATTTAAAATTTTCGCCTCTTCAGGCATCTTTAAGGATAATCTGATTTTATATGTAATATTAATTTTCATTCGCTTATAGCAGTGCATCCACTTTTACACATAGTCAAAGAACACAACCGATTTAGTGTGCAAGTGGGTGCACTGCTATAAGCGAATGAAAATTTAAATTACATGTTAAATCAGATTACCCCTCAAGATGCCTGAAGAGGTGAAAATTTGAAATAAAGTAATTATTTATCGAGACTGAAAAGGCCTTTTTCTACTCAAACTAAAAATTATTTAAAAACAATTATTTATAGAACAAAACCAAATTTGAGAAAAAAATGAATATGGAGTCCGGCTGAACTTGTTTGTATTGAATGTATATTTTAAAATGTTGGTTATTCTTATTTTGAAATGCTGTACATATTTTTTGAAGATATGTAAGTTAGTTTTCAAGGAATTATGAACTATTATTAATATTATTTTTTTTTTGTAGGTTATACCGACTATTCATATGCGTTCTATAGTTATTCCTTCCTTTTGGGTTTATCAGCAATTTCAGTAATGTTGATGCCTATTTATGTAAAAGTACCTGCTGATAACATTCTGAAAGATATGTTCAAACTTCTAAAAATGCCTCATGTCATCATGTTCATATTGTTTTTATACGTTCTTGGAAATTTTTGGGGATTTTTAGAATCCTACTTATTTCTCTATTTGAAAGAGCTAGGAGCTCACAACTATCTATTAGGTAAGTACTTATTTAATATTCAGGAATCCTTACATTTCTTTTTAAAAAATTTTCTAAACTGCACTATGTAGAAAACAGTAAGCATAAAATCATGAGAATAGATATTGAATTACAATCGAAAAATAATTTAGAGATTATTTATTAATTTATTCATAATCTTAAATGAATTTCTTTGAAGTTAAGGAATATTGGTTAGCACTATGTATTCAACTGCTAGCCAAACTAGACTATGCTGATCTTAAATATACACTACACTGATCTTAAAACAGCTATTTTGCCATCATGAGCCTAAAATAGGTATCTCAAAAACCTCTTATAGTAACAGGAAACTCAGATATCGCAAAGTTTCTCAGGATTTTAATAGTTTTCAAGATTCATCTAATTTTTAATGAGTTTTTTTTGTAAATAAGATACAATTTACATTGAGCCAGGTCACTAACTAACATTATCAAGTAGAAAAATAACAATTTATAAACGTAAATAAAAAATGTGATAAGCCTTTTAGGAAAGCAATGTTGTCGTACTTTCACAATAAATTCTGTTTTAACTTTTTTCTTTCTTTCAATAAATTAATTAAAATACAGTCAAACCTTTATTAAACTGTATATTAAAGTACATTGAGCATGAAGGTTTCTTAAAAAAAATATCTTGAGAATTTGATATAAAACGAGTTACTATGTTTCATCCTTGTAATATGTGTTGTTAATTCATATTTTTTGCCATGCCTTTAATTTTTATCCTGCTTATTATGTCTTTCATTTATTTCAAATTTTCGTTTACATTTAATGATTTTATTTTAAGAGAAACGTTCAAAGTGAAACCAAAATTAAAGTGAAAATTTTACTGTGTGTTAGGAAAGAGATATAGAAAGTCTTACCAGTTAGTAACACTGGTTTTATCATCTTCTTAAATATGATTTTTTTATAATTTCCATTGCTTTGTTAAACAGCGAATCATTTTTTTCTCTTGCTTGTTGAATTATATATAACCCATACTTATAGACCTAAACTTAGATCCTTGATGACAATTATACTTTATTTATATTTAAATGCGTAATTTGTAGAAATTTTATTTGATATACATGATATTTTTCTAATGAAAATTCATGGTTCCAAAAAAAATGTAGATATGTAAATATTTATAATATACAGTGTTTGGGTTGTTTACACATTCAAGTATTGTAATTTTTGTAAAATAATTATGATTTATGTAAATTATTTTGTTGTTATGGCTCTTTCTATACTTATATTGCATGAAAAATAATTTAAATTTTTTGCTGCATACAGTCTCTGATAACAATCTATATTTTGGAAATCTTTATACCATATTATTTCTATATTTACTTGTTTTAATTTTGATGTATTTTAAGAATAAAATCTTTAAAGGTGTCACTGTTACAATTGGTACGCTAAGCAGCATTCCTTTCTTATATGGAGCAGAAAAGATCACTAAAAAAATTGGCCATGTTAATGTGATTGTCATCGCTTTCTTTTCACATGCTCTTCGTCTCATGGGATATTCATTTATTGAGTGAGTATTGAACATGTATTCCTGACATCATATGCTCAAATATGTAATGTTTTGAGCTTTATTCAATTTTTTGCCAAACTATTCACAGTTTTTCAAAACTTTATTCAGTCAGAAGACTGGTATTTTAAATAAAGCTGAGCTATTTTTTGCTTAAACATATTAAAATGATAAATTAGTCTCCCAATGATTGCACTGGTAGGTTTGTCTGATTCGCAGTGCATTCTTGGGGGAGAAGGAGGAGACAATGTGGTCAACATTGTGTTCCACCTGCCTAATAATCATCCGTTTAACCCGAGTAAGAAGTAACTCTTTGTAACTGTATATATATTAAAATAATATTCCTTTAAGAAATAACTACATTATCATTGAATTATAACTTTGTAATTGTATAATTTTTCATGTATTAATTATTATAAATTGAAATTTATATTTTTGTCATACTCTATTTCTATATTTAAAAAAGAAGCTAGATTTTTGTTAAATTTTTAAAAATAATTCTATGAACCCTCTTCCATCTCAAAAAATTATATAAACTTTGTGATTATTTTTATACAAATTTCAAGTGATAATCAGATAGTGAATGTTATTTTCCATGCAGTAATGCCTGGTGGTGTTTCCCATTTGAAGCTATGGAATCCCTGTCTGTACACTTAATGTGGGTCGCTGCGGCTACTTACTGTGCTGTACTTGCTCCTAAAGCTCTTCTAGCCACGCTTATTGGAATCTTAGGAATGGCTCACTTCAGTCTTGGTGAATTTTCATTTTAAAATATAGTTACCACAATATACTGAAATATATAATAGTTTTTGTATCACTGTTAAAACTTTGGAATACATTTTATTATTTTAGGGCGTGGAAGTGGAAGTTTCTTTGGTGGTTTTCTTATTGGTACTATTGGAGCACGTCGGGCTTTTAAAACCATGGGATTAGTTGCTGTAATTGGAGGAATCATCTATGGTCTATTGCATTTCTTTTGGCTTCATAAATACACTGAAACTGTTGAAAAACAAGTTACAGGTATGTAAAAATTAATATATTTATAAATTTAACTTATATCCTATAAGCTGATTAAGAAATGTATGCATTGCAGAAATAATAGTAAGGACATTGTTGAGATTATTATATCGTAGCAATATTTAAAAAAAAAAAAATATTCTATGTATAATATTAACTTAATTTTTATTATTTATTTCTTAATTCATTAAATTAGATGTGACCGATTTCAGAAAATTTAATATTTTATCTTAATAATCAACCGTTAATATAATTTTTAATCTTCTCAGAACCAGAAGCAGAGAAGTTGAACTCAGAAGATCCAGAGAAAAATGAAAGGGATGTACTATCAGAGAGTACTGAAAGATTATCACTTTTGATAAGATTTAATCATCGTGGATCATTGACTTCTCTCAGTGGTAAGTAGAGTAGTAAAATTATTATTAATAAGTATTCTGATTTATTTAAAATCAAATTAATGTTATAATTTGTACCAGACTTCTTCAAACTTAACATTATTATCAAATTTAAACAATTTTGATTATTCCAAGGTTAATAGTAACAGAAGTCAAGACTTGTCTTGAATGGTCATCTATCCTTCAGATATACTATATTGCTAGTAGTCTGTACTAAAAAGTAGTCTGTACTACAAAAAATATATAATTCTTTTTATTGAAAGTACATCATATAAATTTATAAAACAAAATAAATAAGGGTACATTTAATTATAATAGTACCTATATATATAATAGCAGATGTATTTAAAAATCTGTAAATAAATAAATAAATACAAGACATCAAAAAGGAATAAAATTATAAAGTTAATCTTATGAGAGGAGACTAATGCTAAACTGAAACAATTTTTTTTTTTAAACAAATGAATAAAAATACTGAAATTTATTTCTTCTAAATCTTCAAATTGAGATTTCATGTTAGAAATTATGCGCATCATAGATTTTATGTTCTTACTGGGGTTCATCAATAGAATAAAACTATGATCAGGGGTAGAGCACTTTATTATATTTAAAGTATTAACATTATTTACATCACATGTAACCTCCATGCTTGCCCAAGATACACTGAGTTGGCGCCCTCCCGCCAAAAACAGTGTTGCAATAATCCACTTTCCAAACATATAATAATAGTGGATAGTCCTCAACACCCTTCCCTCCTAAGGAGTGAAACAACAATATACTTTACATATATCTCCTCAGATGGTTATTACCCTGAGGTAGGTTTTTTAGCATTTCTCAGATATAGATTGTATATATGTATATATATGTATATCTCCTTCCTTTCATTCCTTTTCTCTGTTTTTAACTCTGTATTATATTATACATTGTCTGTACATCTTGATAGACTTTACAATATCTCAATTTTCTATCTAACTACTCCATTCTCAATGTTTTAATTTTACTATTTATTTTCATTACTTATATAACTTCATATTTCTTTTTTATGTTTTACATTTTATTCTAAGATTCGCATTGTAACACTTTTGTCACCCTTTTTGATTATGCCTACTTCATCATTCCACACTTTGTAACGGTTTTTATTATTTATCTCTTAGCTCTTAGTCATTATTCTAACAATTTCATTTTACTTTATATTTATCTATTTTATTTTTTCTAATTTTTTTATTTTTTATTATCTTTTTTACCATCATTACTTATGTTTCTCATACCTTGTTATCTGGTTATTTTCTTAGCCCTGATGAAGACCTGAACTTCAGGTCGAAACGTCGGCATATGTAAAAAATAAATATTAACATTTATTTTTTGCCTTCCTTTTTGACTGACCACCCCAACTATTCTTCTCTTTATTATTATTACTTTACATACGTACAAAACATTATGGTGAATATAACAATATAACACAATACAAATGAACAAACATGGTAAATCAAATATACAATATAAATTAAAAGTCATATTATATACAATTGTTATTATGAAAAATGTTTATATGTACATTTTCTATGGACAACCCTTTGCCAAAAGCAGTGTTGCCATAATCCACTTTCCAAACACATATAATAATAGTGGGTAGTCTCCAACAAATATATACAGCACAGCCAAATAGACCCATATTCAAAAATACTGATTAAAAAAACAAAAGCAAATGAAATGAGTCTACATACTACCTATCAATTTGACCAACTTATGTCTTTTCATCATCGACCTACATACATGGGCTTACTCTATACCTCCATTTTTTCAATAATAGGCATACTGATATACCGGTACAAAAAAATGGTTTCAATTGACATTTCTGAAGTTGAGGCAAAGACTTTAAAGGTACTGAATGAGTGTTCTTAACTTAAATTGAATCAAACTGAAGAAAAGAAGACACTGTTCCATTCATTACTTTTCATGATCATATCACTTTCATGGCTTTTATGTAAATAAATAAAGATTGTAATAAAAAAATAAATAAAATAACAGTAGGAAATTCATTGTTAGTAATTAAGCATGCCTCAATAAAAATAAAAATTAAAAAATATGGAAGTTGTTTTAACATGTATTAATGAAACTGAATAGTAACTATTAAAAATCATATTCTTGAATTGAATAGTAAGGATTGAACTTTATCAAATGATTTTCATATTGCAGTTTAAATAAAACTGGTGGAATGATTCAAATATAGCTTTAACAAACCTGTCAATTTTTCGAGGAAAGCTATTAATTGATATTTAATATAAAATTTGTTTTGTTTATTTAATGAAATTTACAACTGTATACAAATACAACAAGTAAATATGCGCAAATATAAATAATGGCATTAATATAAAATAAAGAGAAAATTATATATAATCGTTAAATAGCATTATCAGAATTCCTTACAATCTGCACTATATGGTTCAGGGAGCAAGTAGACTAAGAAAAAAATAATTGCTAAGTGAGATGACACGTCCCTTTCCTAAAAATTACATATTTAACTCTTCATCCTGACTTAAACAGTTTACTGAATCCGTCATAAATTACTAAAGCTCCTCAGTACTCTTTTTCTATAATTTAGTGTTAATAAAAAATCTATATTAATTATGTTTTTTGTTAATTTATATGTTTTTTGTTAATCATTCTTTTAAAAAATACAAATTATTATAAGGTCTTAGAAAATAATTTTGTATAAAAAAAATTTATAATTGTTTTCATGTTAAATATAAAATTATCTTACCATATACATATTATAAAATCAGTGCAAGGTGTTTCTAGGTTTGAGAAATAGTGCAACTTATGAAGAAGAAAATATTTGCTTGAAAAACCTAAACAGATTCCGAATTCATGTAACTATTGACTGCGATAACAAATGCTGTGATAAAGATATACTCAACAGCATAGTTCAGTCAGTCCTTGATTCTAGCAAGTCGTTCGGCAAAACTTTCAGTATAGAAACTAGAAATACAATTAATATATTCGCCTATAGTAAGTACACATTTAGAGCAAATGCATGTGCATGATTTCATTGCATGGATTTAAAAAAATATTTTAAATATTCAATGATGAACAAATTGTATTAGAATTATTAAATTTTTGTTTACATATTATAGATATTTTGGGTTCATTTCTTGAATATACTAAATCCTATGATAGGTATTAAAAAAAACATGTTAAAAATAATTATTGACATATAATAAATTAAAGTGAAACATCCCAACTTTGTTCGTTTTAAATAATTTTATAAAAGTTCTGAGAGTGATCAGTTTGTTGATTATACTGTATGTTTATGGTGTGATTGGTTTGGTCTTCCCATTTATTGATTTATTTTATTTTATCAAAGTTAAAGCAAATTTTGCTTGTAAATGCCGTTCTGAATCTTTTCACTAACCTTTACCTTGCATTAAATTAACACACCGTCACCATGTCAGTTAAGTTTGTTATTTAAGATTAGCCGTTGATAATAAACTAAACCCCTTTTAATGGTTAGATTAATTCTTCAGTACAGAATGGACAAGACTTGAGAATCAATGTCTCTGCCAAACCATAAATGTGTTAAAAAATTTGATTGGAATTTATAGGATCTATGGGAAATTTGATTAATTTAGTTAAATTACAAAATAGAATACATTTTTAATATGTCTATTATATTTGTTGTATTATTGTGATATTAGTTATGCTTAAATTTGTTTTATATCAAAGATGCATTGTACCTCTTAAAAATGCCAAATTTTATTAATTAAAAAACATTTCTGATATTTAATTCAGATCGAGGAGCCGGTAGTAGAAGAAGCAGTTCTAATGAAATAGGCAAAAGTTTGCTAAAATCGGCACTTGAGAGCAACTACAAGAATTCTAATTCCCAGTTGAATTTCAGAACTTCATCTCCCCAGCTTTCGAAACCTACCAAGGTAAGGATTTTTTTTTTTTTTTGGAAAATCCAAAAAGTCATTATTACTTGTCAGTATTAAAAAAACATCTGGTAGTTATTGAATTCATTCTTCATCATTATCATTGGTTATACCTTTTACAATTATCAAATTAAAATTTTAAGGCAATAAAGATCTGTCAGTAATTTGATACAAAATTGTTGTTTCCTGAGTAGTGGTAGGAAAACATGATTTATTGTATAGCTACAGATTTCAGTTTATTGCATCATAAGAAGAATAAAATTTTGTTGCTTTAAGTGATTGATATGAGGAAAAAACTATGATGATATGCTATGAGGTATAAAAAAAAAAAATTATTATTAATTTATTCCGATACAAAGAGTTTCAAAACTGAATATTTATTTTTTATTCTAATTTATTTTCTGATCAATTGTGTAGCATTTTATTCAATAAGAAAACAAAAAAAAAAAAACAATTTGATCTGTAGAACTTTCAGAGGAAGTTGTCATGTGTACACCAAAGCTACTTATTCATACATTATGTAAAATGAGTATATATTGAGAAATATTAAAGATGTAAAAAATAAACTTTAATGTAGTCTTGCTTCAAAAAGGAATTTGATAGTTTTTAATAGTATAATTAGTTATCTATTTTATCAGCCCTTATAGTTTTTATTGGTAATTTCCTAATTTATTTGGGGGTGTCAGTTTAGAAATTCTGATCATTTTCATTATGTACCCATTTTTAACTTTGGTTGGGCCATATATTTTTCTCAGGATTTTCCTTTCCCATGTGTTAAGAAAACTCTTCTATCACTTCATTGGGGTCTAAGCCTTACTACCATACATTACTACCAGTTGGAGGGCGGTCTTATATATTCTCAAGATACGTTTCAATTTAGAAGAATTTTCCTGAGTTTCCAATAGCATTTGTTGCCACTTTGAATTCTAGCTTTTATTTCTTCTTCTATTTTATTATTTTCCATAATCATTGTGTCTAGGTACTTGAATTTGATAAAATTTTCGAAACCATATCCCTCAGTTATTAGAGATCTGCCAGTTGTGCTTTTCTTGGCTGGTATCATGTATTTTTTTTTTATTAGGGCCCATATGTAGCACATGTATGTACGCAACTGTATGTAGCAACTAGCCGAATAATTGTCTTGTAGAGTCTAACGTTGGTTGTACGACTTAACAATCTATTTTTCAGAAGACTCTCTAGAGAAAAATAATTTCTGTTGGTAGCAATCATTCTAGCTCCTTTCTCCTCATCTTCATTATGGTTATAATTCATTTTGGAACCGAGGTAGATAGAGCTTGATACAGCTTGAAAAGTATGGTTTCCCATGACATAGTGTTGTGGTGGATGGACGTGATTTTTCTTCCTTAAAACAAGGACTTTGGTTTTGCTTTTATTGATGCCAAGCCCCATTTTCATGACTCATCTTCTAACCTACAGAATGCATCCTTCACTGCTTGAAGTAATCGCCCTGTTGTTACCACATTTTCTGTATATGTGAGCAGTTGAGTGAAATATTGTTCCTACATTATTCAATCCTTCTCATGATGGTCTCTAGCGCAATATTAAAGAGAAGTGGGGATAATGAGGCATCTTGCCTGATGCCTGTACAAACTGCAAAAGAGTCGCCAATTCTTTGCTTCATCTTTCCTGTAAATCTTTCTCCACAACAAGCAGCTTTCACCTCATCTCTCACTGTACCTGACTCATTAACAGAATCAACTTTAGTGGCCTTTATGTCCTGAAAAAAACCTCCTTGTTTCATTCCTAAGCTTTGCTTTTTCAATGTTTTTAACTTTTTCATGAGAGCCTTTTCTTTTTTTTTTTTTGTATCATCATGTTCTTAGGTCCTTACATCTTGGCACTCTGCAAAACTTATCATCCACTCTCTGTTGTCATTGGTCTAGTTGCATGTGATATGTTTACTTATTGTTAGCAAAAGCACTTTCTTTGCCAATCTGACTGTTGAACTTACCCATTATAACTTTCCAATTTCTCATAGAACTGTTCTTTCTATATGTCAACTTTTTCTTCTGTAGGGATGTGAACATTTATGATGTGGGTTATTTGTTTTTTTGCTATACAAGTAGGTTAAAAAAAAAAAAAGAATTTTCGACTGAAGTGAATTGAGCAAGTTACACAATGTACTAATAAAACAAATTGAAACTGTATATTGTCATATGAAAAATACAATAAAAAAATGTGGATGCACAACATCACTCATATGGAGACACACTCTCTCATCATGATAAAACTTGAACAAGAAGACAGGGAATGATACTTATATAATAGGATCAGCTTAGTATTTGAAAAAGAAAGAGAAACAAAACATTAACTGCCCCTCAGAATCAAACTGAAGTCAGCACTATCATAAAAATATAGTTTCTATTGCTATAGTAAAATGAAGACTTAGCGAGGCCTTACTTATTGGAATATGTTGGTGCAATAATACCACTACTATGATCTACTAATGAGAAAAGGTATCAGTGTGAACTTTCTTAGAAGGATTTTAAAGTGGGAGCCTGGAGAAATGCACTACATAAACATGTTGGCCCAGCTTAAGCTGCCGAATTCAATACAATTGGGCTTTGAATAGAACTTGATGTTAAGAAATGGTATCATGCAAAAACTTCAGAAAAATTCATTACGAGCTTCTGAAACGTTCTTGGGATAAAAATCAATTTGAGAAGTTCGGCGAACCCACTAAAAGCATACTGTAAGTGATCAAAGCAGTCTTGGAAATTAAGGGAAGGTTCTTGATAAAAAAAAAAAAATATTTTATTTTAAATATATTTCTCTGAAATTGCATTATTTTGTGTTCCTTTTTTTGTATCAAAGTTTTATTTAAAAAATAGAGTGTCTATTTAAAAATATATATAACATTTTCTGAAAACAGAGGTATCTAAAAATTTTTGAACAGCAGTTTATATTAGTAGAATTTATGTTCAGATTATTTAAATATGTATTTGTCAGTGATAACAAGGATGTCCAAAACACAGGGTGGTATGGCACAAGTTACACTATCAAAATGTTTGAGGAGGCACATTTATATAAGATTTTGAATTTTTGAGGGTGGTATATTCTGACAGACTAATGAATTTTTGGAGGAGACCATATTTTTATTGTGGAATTTCAGTTTGGAGGAACTTTCAAACTAGAGAACAATGGAAAAACATGGTACAGATTTCAACAATTTTAATTGTATATTGATTACAATTCTACACATCGGTTTGTTAAAATATAGAATATTATTTTTTTGACCTTCAACAACCATTTCTTATGTACAATTTGGCAGTAAAGAAACAAAACTTTTTTTTTGAGATGATACAATCTTATTAAGATTTTAGGCCTTTTAAATTACATTTATGTCAGAGTATTAAAAAATGCAGTGTTAGTAAAGTGGTATATGGGGATCTTGATCTAGTCTTAGTTTAAAGGTAAATGAATCCTGGTTGGTAAATTTGACTGCGCATTTTTCCTCTGGATCCGCAAATTAAATCATTAAACCTGCTTTTACTTGAGAAATAAAATTAACCAATGATGAAATTCTTCTCGAATTTATTATATATCAAGTATGATGTTTTCATAGTATTATATTTATTTAATCCGCATCAACAGCGTATATATTCAGATCAACAGCTTCTTCTTTTAATATTCTCAGATTTAAAAATATTGTCAAATGCTAGAATGAGACTATTTTCTGACGAATCTTTTAAAATGAAATCATCAATACTATAATGTCTAGGCAGAATGTAAATGATAAGTTCATTATTATATAATCTGTAATATGTTCTAGTAATAAATGCCTGCATTATATTTTTGAAATTATTATGAATACATTTAAACACAAGAACACTATAAAAAAAAAAAAAAAAAAATGCCGAAGGAGGATTGGTATTTCCTTGGGTCTAGAGGGACCAGTAAATCTCACTGGGAGAGGTCAAACCGCACAGGCTTAGTGAGCTCTTACTGTCAGCTTTGTATGAAATATCGACAGTTATAGTTTTAGTTTCAGTTTTCGACAGCTAAGAGGAAAGTCGGGTTTGCAGAATCTAGGAGATGTATTTTAAAATCTACAATATAGTACGAAAAAAATAAACACTGAATTGCGTCTATTATAGATTGTATTTGGTACTATCGATTCACAAGTTTTTAATGAATTATTTAAAAATATGTCTAGGGAAAATGATCGACTATAAACCTAGCGTTCTTCGGTATATACCAATACAAACATAAATGTGTGGTTCATCGATTTCGAAAAGGCTTAAAATTTTTTTTCCTCCGGATTTTAATAATTTATGGAATACCGAATAAACTATTTTATTCAGTAAGAAGGATGTACTGCACCAGCGGATCAAGGATTTAATTTTCGGGGGGGGGGGGGAGGGCTTCAACGCGAAAGGTTTTTTTTTCGTATATATAACGATAAATACTTTATAAAAAAAAAATTAAGATACTAACTGTTTAAGGTGCTTAAGTGATTTTTGAAGTCCTATAAAATGTAATTACATGAACAGTAATACTTTAAGAGATAATTTTTTTCTAAAATATGGTTATATTTTATCATTTTGGAGGAGGAAAGGGGGCTTCAGCTGTAAAGCTCCCACCACCCGTAGATCCGCCTGTGATGTACTGCGTATCGGAAATTTTATTTAAGAGTCTGAGTTCGTAATTTTCATTCCGAGAAGTTTGAGATTAGTCTAATTTCATAAAAGGCTTCTTTTTTTTCAGTATTGTTTAATTTCATACTGAAATACTTTGTAAGAAGGATAATCTATTCGGAATTCGTTTGATCTTTGGTTCGTAAAATAGCCGCTCTGATGATTTTTTGTTAGAGTATTTCGGCGGCATTAGTCCGAGTGTCCATGCGAAAAAATCGACATTATCTGAAGAAAATTTTAAAGAAATTAAGTATCTGAAGTCTACATCCGTTGTGTGTTTATTACTATTTTTTTAAATGTGTATATTTTAAGTAAGATTACAAGTAAAATGCTAATTTGTTTTCTTCGCAAAATTACGTTGCCCGTGGGTAGCTATGCTTCCGAAGCCTCAAGTTCTTTGAAAATTAATCTGTGTCCTGTAAGTGTAATTAATATGGTGGCATCACGGCTTCTGAAAAAGCTTGTTAAGTTATTGGACTGAATAATCGTGGACGTCGTTACGGAGGAGGGAAGAGGAGGGAGAGAAGAGAGAAGGGGCAGGAAGAGGAGGCCTCTCCCAATAATTTTGAAACCTGAGAAATTTGAAAATTCGAGAACCTGTTTCGAATTGCGAAATTATAGCGATGTATGACTTAAAGTTTTCTCCAAATAAGTTATGAAATTTCCGGACTAACGGTTAAGTGAAAAGTTCAAATCCAAAAGAGTTAGGAAAATTAAAGTATTTCTGTATCAAATAAATACATTTTTTTTTTCTTTTGGCATTACGGGCCTTTTAGATCTTTTGCCGCCTTAAAAAGCCTGTTCCATCTCTGCCTGCAACTTGGTTCTTTCTATTGTATATCAGTTGATTCTATCTATCCATCTGCTTTTTGGCCTTCTACTAAGTGTTCTATTGCCTTTTATTGAGGCATTCATTTTTACGTACAGACTTTCAAATGGATTGCTACGAATTACATTGTCCACCCATCTTAACCACCTTGCCTTCATATCCTGAGATATTGATTGACCAGTTTCTGTAAGCAGCTCTTTATTAATCTTTCTTCTTCACGTGTTAGTATTGTGATTCCAGAACGCTCCGGTTCTCCTGCGAAAAATTTTTTCTTAAATCTTTCTTTACTTTTTTCTAGAGCGCTGGTTAGTGTCCAAGTCTTACAGTCATATATTATAACTGGATTTATCGTAGCATTGTAAACCTTTTATATGAGATTTATTGAGATTTTCCTGGATTTTAATACCTTTGAAAGGGAGAAGAAAGGTCTATTTGCTCTAGTTATACGCTGGTCTATTTCTGGCCGTTGGTCATTCATTGAGGTTATTGTGGAGTCTTCTACGAAGATCCTGTTGTTGGGGTTGCATTTTCGGCTTATTATCATATATTTTGTTTTGTCTTCATTTACTTGTAGGCCGATTTGATCTGCCTCTCTTATCAGAGTCATATCAAATAAATAACCTGTTAAAAACTTAAAAATATCTGAAATTTTGTTCCAGCTATTATAATTGTTTGGAAATATTCAGATTCTTGAAACTGCTGGAAAATTTTAAAATTTGCCCCTTAGTAGCAACGTCTGTACGAATAATGGAGCTAACCAACCATTACAAAGGTATTGAGTGCTTAACCGACTGGTAAACGCTAGTGTGGTATATTGAGTAGGAGGTAGTTTAGTGCTTGATGTTGAACTGTATCTTAGGTCGTAAATGTTTGTTTATCGATTCTAACGCTTCAACGCTTGATAGCCCCTTAAAGATTAAGAAAATACCTCTGCGTATAGGTATAAATTATTTTTGATTAGCTATCCCCTCTTAGAAATTTAATTTTCCAAATGGCTTGGACCACTACTTGATCAAATTTCCACAATGATAAAGCGTGAATTGTTATTATATCACCATTGTGAATTTTGTTGTTGAGAGTGTTGGAAGCATTTAATTTCTGACTATGTTTATTGTTGGTTTGGTTTCTTCAGTGCTTCCCACTCAGTAGCACTGGATTACCAACTTCTTTAGGTAGTGGACACTACTGGTCACCGATTTCTTTTGAAATGATTTGATTAAAATAATGTAATATAGATAGCTGTGTTGATAAATAAACGATTATGTTAGCAGGGAACAGAACCGCAGACTCCGCAGCAGACGAGGAGGATTCCTTCACAACTGGCAGCGGTGCAGACGGACGATAACATTGTGCGCAGGTAAAGCATGAGTACTCTATATTTGGTTTTCTTATTTTGCATTAATATTGTGCATGGTATCAATGAAGTAACGCTATGTCGCGATGTCGCATGAACCATTCTATAACAAATTATTTTTTATTAAATATTTTTATCGATCAGAAAAAACGCTGCAAATTATTTCACAATGGTTTATTATTTCCCAACAATTATACAAAAAAAAAAAAAAAATAAAAAATAAAATAAAGCTTTACTTCAGTAACACATTCAGAAATCAAAATCCAAACAAAGGATTTGCAGTAGAACATAAAAAACATCTAGAGACCATATCTTTGCTCCTAATTGTCCGATTTTAACCAATGTTATTTTGCTTTTTAGAAAATTCCGTAAACTTTATAAAAAAAAAAAAACATACAATATAGTCAAAAAATCTTACCTTCCCTCGTAACTTTTTTTCCAGCTTTCATTTCGTTTAAGTATCTCATATAGATAAATTTAAAGGGCATCAAGAAGAAGACTTTAGCAAAGTTTTATTGAAATTCGTATTAGTTTAGGCGCTACAGTCTATAGCAACGCTATTTTTTTCGGCCGCCATTTTGAAAATAAAGGGCGGATAGTAATGTCGATGAAGGAGGATCATCCTCGGATGACCTCTGATTTTAAATTCAAATTTGAAAAAAATAGGTCCATTAGTTTCGGAGAAAATGCGCAGACGGCGGACGACAAAAAACTTTTTATTCGTTTTTCGAATTCTAGGTGTCCTGAAACGTAAAACCTCAAATTTTGAGAAGGGGTTAAGTTTTTGAATGTTTTGTTCGATTACAATGGTTCATTATTGAAAATAACATATTTGAAAACAATTAATTTAAGATATCTTCACTTACTTTAATGTTTTAACATTAATTTAGTTCCAAAAATGTTACCATTATAATTTTTTGTAGATTTTCCCTAAAACTACATGTGGATATTATGTTTTTATATGTTTAGAGAAATCAGCTTTTGAGTATCATATTAATATATTAATATTATTTTTGTGTATATTCTTTTTTGGTAGACTTTAATCTGCTTTATGATTTAATCTGTTTTACGATTTAATCTGTGCTCTAATAACATACTTTTATCTGAAGTATGATTAAATATGATCTGATAATTAATTATATATAATGCATTGACATTTTTTACCTCGAGAAAGAACGCATTTTATATACTGGGTTTCTCGGTTCTTAATGACCAAACACTGAGAGGGTGATTCCAGACAAAATTTCATACAAAAAAGTTCATTGATGCATGGGTGAATTCCGAACAGAAATGGAGCTAAGACCAATTTCGTGTTTTTCTTAAAGGAGTCACGTTTTTTATTGAATAAGAAGTAATTGCTCAAAAACTGTCTACATCAAGTTAAATAAATTCTAAGTATACCACCGTATCCCGGGGTACAAACCCGTTTTTATCAAATTAATTAACATCTGGTTGAAACTTCGTGAATAGTCTCATTGTAATCTACAACTGCATCTGAAGATTGGCAAACTTTATCGATTACTTTTTGACTAGATACTAAAAACTTGCTTTCCACTTGGATCGTAAGATAATTTGATCATAAAATCGAGAAAAAATGTGGCCTATAAAACCTCGTTATTTTCAGATTTTGCATGAATACATATTGAATGTAGGTCACGCCAAACGGCTCAATATTTTTGAAGGCCACCTTTTTTCTCGAGTTCGTGCCCAAATTATCTTACGATTTAAGTGGAAAGCCAATGGGTATTTCCGAGTTTTTAGTATCTAATTAAATAGACAAAGTTTGACGATCTCCAGATTGAAAACGTCGCAATTCCGAGAATTTTCGTAAATAAAATAGTTGTAGGTAACGATGAGATGACGCTATTTGCGAATTATCAGGGGGATGTTGATAATTCGATGAAAAGAGATCTCTACCACGGACTATCGTAAAGTAGACAATTTTGTTTTGAGAAAAGAGTGATTAAATTTACTAAGATCAATAATAACAGCGACTAAATCATCCGATGAAAGAAGTTTCATTAACATAATTCAGTGCATACTGGTATCAAATACTGCTTGGTGAGAGTTTGCTACGAAATGTCATTTTCTTGCTTTGTTGAGCATGCCAAGACATTTTCACAATTGCTACAATTTAAGTCACAGAGTATTTCTGATTAACATCGATATAACAGATTGGTTAAAAATAATCCTGTTTGAAGTTTCAAAATATCAAGTTGAAAAATATCTCGCGTGTTTCCTACCATGGCGTGGGAAATCTTGTGAGCATCGAAGGCATTTTAAATGCGGAAGGCTATGTGAACATTTTGCGACGTAATTTGCGTGTTAGTGCCGAAAAAATGGGAATCCAAGATCAGTACTGTTGTCCAGCAGGACAACGATCCAAAACATACTGCGAGGAGAACAAATATTTAAGTGGAGTGATTAATATTTAATGTTCCAAGACAGCTCCACACTCCTCCTCAGTCACCAGATATAAATATCATTAAAAATTTATGGCACACCTTTGACCAAAATGTAGGAAAACACCGTATCACTAGTGGACACCACCTTAAACAACTTCTTGTTCAAGAATGGGAACAAATAAACGTAGATTTAATTAAAAACCTACTGCATTCAATGCCTAGACGTCTACAAGCAATTATTGACGCAAATGGCCTATTTACAAAATATTAAAACTATTAAAATTTAAAATAAACTTGTAAATGTGGAAGTGTGCAAATACTTTTTTCCAAGCACTTTTATTGTTTTAATTATTTTGTTTGATTATGAAGTGTTTTTATTTTTTTGAAAAAAGGTTTTTTCAGTTTTTAATAAATTTACTTTTCATTTTTGCAAAGGAAAGCGAAGTTTTTTGTTTCCTTGAACTACTTTATTCATAAAAACGTGTTGTGCAAATACTTTTTTCCATCACTGTATATATTAATATCATTTATCGTAGTACACAAATCAGACATGCTTCGAATATCCGTATGAAGAATGAGAGGAAATAAGGTATACATGGCGCTATTAAAAAAATATCTAGAAATAAGCACAGATAAAATAAAATTAATGGCTAGTAGTTGTAAGTAATAAACGTAGGGAACAAAGGGGAAGGGGGAGGAGACTTACGCTTGGTGGCAGAATTCAGGGGGTGGCAAATTTAGAATGAAATTTTATTTTTAGGTTTAGTTAAAATATTTATTTTTGGCTTTTTCGTTGTATTGACCTTAATAAATTCAATAAAATGAGTTCATAATATGAGATAATATTAATTTTGAAGTATAATACTATTATAAAACAGTTGAAAAAATAGTCGATGTTCTTTCCGAATTCAAGCTGATTATACAAAAAGTTGAAACTAGGATGTTATAACTGTAAAAAGAAACTTTGGTTTATGACTTAGCAACAATGTTAGGATCTTATTTAAGTTCCCTTTTAAAATTATTTGTGAGACTTTTTTTTGGAAAAAAAAATTAAAATAAATGTTCTAAGAATCTTTTTTTTTAGAGAAAGTTTACCTTTCCTTTATTTAAGTATTAAAAAGAAAAAAAAATCTAATCAGAAATAAACAGTAATTGGGTTTAGAAATGAGTTATAATTTATCTTAAAGGAATTATACGATTCTAATGTGTCGTTTATTTGAATAGCCAAGAATAAAAGAAATTTATTAAATAGACTTTTTGACGAAATCAATAGAATTTTTAAATAAATGTTTTTAAAGAAAGAAAATAAAGTTCTATAAAACTTTTACTAGAAAATTTGCAAGGGAAAAGTTCTAGGTCCGTATTAACTCGAAAATATTGAAAAAACATATTTCTGTCATATTGAAACTGCATACAAAAAAAAGTTGTCATTTCAAACCCTGCTCAAGAGGCCTACACGTTGGCTAGACTGTTAGTAATATTGCTATGTAGTATTATTTTATTTTTCCTCAGTCATTTTCCAAATACTTTCAAATTAATTTTTAATCTGCTTATTATTAAATCTACTTATAAAAGTTTCCTCTGCTTTTGAGTTATTAAAAAAAAAAAAAAACTTCAATTATTGTAAATATACAAATACTGTATTTCTGTAACCTTTTGTACTCCCCTGACCTCGTTGCCATCCCTTGTTCAAAATATTCCTGTCACGTATATGCCCTTTGAGCTATTGAAAATAGAAAGTCAACTTTGAAAACAATATCCTAATTTCCCATGTCAGAGATTATATAAAATTAGTTTTACCTGTAAAGTTAGCTCAACAACTGGGACGCCTAGGTATTCTATTCTAGAGGGAAACTTTGTAGCAGGGCGTGCATACAAAACAACTGTTCCTATTCAAGTTGAATTAGTGGCTCTAACGAAGACTTGATGGCTGTGATTTTATAAAGTAGGTATGCATTCCACGATCTATTCTCGGATTCGTGAAGGTTTTATTTAAAATAAAACCGATAAGGTTAGTGAGAAATTATTTAAAGAAATTTCTTAAAAGAACAATATAAAAGTAAAACCGTTCCTAGTTTTACAATTTAAGTTATAAGAATCGTGATGTTTTTAAATTGAATTCAGTAGTTAACTTGATTGTATTATATCTTTTGGAGCGTTACCATTGTGACTATTGATGAACCTTAACCAAACAATGTAAACTCAAGCCGGTGAAGTTTCGATCTGTTGTTATCATAACTCTGTCTCTATCCAAGGCAAGGCTCATTACTGGAAGTCAGTCCTAACAAGCGGAGTTTCACAGTGCAGTTGCGCACCGTGATGACTTCGTTGTTCTTTGGCGACCATTTCTATGATTCGGAATGTAGGTAGCATTGACAGCCTCAGAATAACTCCAATAGATATGGCAGAATCATTTCACGAAGATTTTATTCCAGGGATCTGAAATATTACAGATTTATTATATTATTTTCAGTATAATTTCATTCTCATACGTTCTATCACCTGAGTAAATCCGTTAGTCTCGAAATAGCACTTCCTTAAAAAGATCTGAACCCAAAGACTCTTATTGGGTTTTAGTGGTAAACATTTTTTTTTTATTTTTATTTATTTATTTTTTATGCTTTCTTAAATATTACAGATTTTGTGATAGTACGATCACATTTCAGTTTATTTTAAGAACTGAGTTAACGGAAGCGTAGCTTTTAAAAATGATGTCAATATAAAGACAGCGTGTATTCATAAAAAGCACCGTTAATAATATGATTATGAGCCCTAATATCGAATAAATCCGAAAAGTTACAATAAATAACTGAAAATTGATTGTATTTTCTTAAAATACTTCTTCGAAAACCTAATAGTGAACCTCAATATTGAAGAAATCATAAAAAGTAGACCTTATTTCATCATAATTAGATTAGTAGTTTATAAAAAGGTAGTGCAACTCGTCATTCTTAAAGTAACTTATATAAATATATAATTTACTAAATTAATTAATTAATAAATTAATTAACAATTTAATAAATATTTATAAATATTTTCAAATAAGGTAAAAATAAGTTTTAACAGAGTGCCAATAAAATTATTATTTAAAAAATACAAGCCTGCTAAAGTAGAAAATAATTAAAATCACAGGAGATATTTAGTTTTAACCATCGCTTAAATAAATCTTTATTTTTGTCACTCATACTTCTTTGCTCCTGGGGATCTCAAGACATCCTAATTTGTGTACATTGAACTATTTAGATTTGTTACATTTCACATTGTAACTCGTGTTTGCGTTGTTATCCTCGTTAAAAAGAAAAACAAATAAGTCCCACTATCAAAGCCCCCCTGGTCTGGAATACCTAGGAGACAGATAGCGACAATATACAATGTAATAAAAACTATTTTAAAAGTACGATCGACTTTTTAGAGAAAAAATGAAAAATTAATTTTAGTAATATTTTCATATCTTTTTATTATATAAAGAAGTTTAAGTGACCGATATTTTATTTTACATGTAAGGTGGAATGCCCGCAAAGCACCACCGCCATGCGGGTTTCCGGATACTGCGCCCAATTCCCATCATTCCAATAATATTTTTTTAAACTCTTTAGGATATACATTTTCAATTATTCACTTCTTTAACAATATCTTTCATACACCTTTTTCATTTATATAATTTTTATAAGAGGGTTGTTCCGCCATTAGGCGGACAGAGCGTACTTCCTTCAGTTTCAGCCAGTTTTCTCAATTTGTCTTTCTTGAGATTACTGGCGTGATTTTTTTTTAGTCTCCTTCTGAGTGTATCAACAAAAAAGATCATGTCAACCCTAAAGTGACAATCATACCATATAATAATTTACAAAATGTGTAAGACATGGTTCTTAATTGAAATAAATTTAATGGAAGTCAAACCCACACAGTTCGAAATTAGAGCGCTAGGTCAACCAGTTCATTAAAAATGTAAAAAATGAGAGTTATTGAAAATTTAAATTAATGTTGATGACAAAAAAACTGTAAGTAAGAGCATCTTATGTAAGTCAAAGCCGAATAATATGGAAACAATTATTTAATATATTTGTATTGTCTTAAAAACTCATTTTGGATTTGAAACAAATTACTTTTCCGTATTTTATCGATTTTTACAATTATTTAAAAGATCATTGATAAACATACACATGACGGTCCTATGTTTTACAATTAAGTAAAGTGTAAGTTTTTTTCCTCTTACTTACCTGCTTACTGATATTTGACGAAGTAACAGTTCCATGAAAGATATAGGAGTGGATTGGGAGAAAGCTAAATACCTTCGTAAAAAGCTTAGAATTTTCTTCTGGTTTTAATTTTATTTGCATACTATTTTCTTTTAGAATTTATACTCATTCGAAATATAATTAAATGAGAAGCAAATTATCCAGAACACTAATGGATTCAGGTCAGGTGAAACCGTGGACCGTGAAAAACGACAACACGGCGAGACAGAAACGTCATTTCAAAAATTAATTAATTCCAGGATGGAGTGGAGGCTGCCATTGACAGTTTGGTAATGATTGGCAAATTTATAAAGCGGAAACAAATCGCGATATCGTGCCTTCTCCATCTAGTTCTGAATTAAGGTAGCATTTGCCACTGTTGGGTGATGGCATTATGCGGGTATCTGTCTAGTTGTTTCTCCTGAACGAGGTATTGTACATAATAAGTAGGCTCGATAGTTTAAAAGATTTAAGTAAACAATTCTCATTTAAATTAAAAATATATGTTTTTAAATTATTTTTTTATTTAACTTACTAAAAATATACAAAAGTAAATGAATTGTACGAATAACATGAAATTGACTTCTAGTTTCTATAAAGAACCAGGAATTGACAAGACTTTTTTTTTTAAATTTAAATTGTTAAGAACCTATAATTAATGACCAAACATTCCTTGGACATTTAAATATTACCTTCATTGTTTCAATACTAATGCAGTTCAAAAATAATAATGCAGTGCTACCAGTCTCATTACTTAATTTACGCACCTCGTTCCCTGGGTGATATTAAACGGTAATATAGACACACGATTTTAAATTTTTATTAAAATATTGAATTTTTACTAACTTTTTTAACAATTATATTAAAAATTAATCTTTAATGACTTTCTTAAATGAATTTATATTTACACACCTCAACTTTCACATTAAGGTGAATTTCATTTACACACCTCGTACACTCGGCGAAATTGAACGGTAATATTGATACAAGCTTTTGAATTTTTATTAAAACATTGAATTCTTCCTAAATTTTTAATAATTATATTAAAAGATTAATTTTTATTTTATATTTATTATTTTCTTCATTTTGTTTTTACTTTTTTTTATATTATGTTATTTTATTTTTATTTTTATATTTATAAGTTTATTTATTTTTTTTACATTTATTTATTTATTATTATTTTTTATTTGAAATATTCAATTACCTCAGGAGCTCAATAAAAGAAGAAGACGAAACATTGGGTTCGGAAAACGACATTTCTCCGAAAATCACCAAGATTAAAATATCGCCACCTACAAAAAACGCTAGCTGACACAAGCCACATGAATCAATTAATGTTAATAAGTACATTTGGTAATTATTATACGAATTGTGATATGATTAGATCATTTGAAAGAGGTAGGTTTCCGGTATCGCATTTTAAGCGGTCTTCAGTTGATTATTTTTTCCGTTTTTATTTAGGTGTTATTTTTAAGAAACACTTTTTATTTGTTTATAGTCAATAAATTACATTATTATATTTTTACTTTTAAATTTTTTTTTAAGTAAGAATATTTAGTTGATAGAAATTTATTTGGAAGAAATAACCTTCTTTCTTTTTAACATTATATATTTAGAATTCAAATATATATCATTAACGTATTTTATATTGTTTGTCAATACTTTTCTAATTTCGGTAAACAAATAAGATACTTTCAATTTTTATATTACTTTCAACGTGGGGCAGAGATGAATAACTTTTGACCTATATTTTAACTCCCTCCCTACAACTCCTGGTCGATAATTTTCTTTATTTTTTTTTCAGAAATAATTTATTCAAATTGAGCTTTTTTTACTTGTGTGTTTTTTCTCTTCTTTTTATCTGCGGCTATATACTGAGAACCGCCTGTTGAATATTTATAATTTACAGTAGTTAAATTAATCCAATTAAAAAAAGGCCGTATTTGTTGTTTGTTGATCGAATGATTTGTGTAATATTATATTTATTGGTATATCAACATTGTATTTTTGATAATGAAAAACAATTACTTGCTTTAAATGAGGTATTCTACGTCATCTTTAATTTTCTAGTATCTCTTTACTTATGTAGGGAGTACTTAATATTCAACACAAGGAAAAATTGGTTTAAAAATCGATCGCACACAGTAACAATAATTATTTTAATAAATTTATTTCAACATTATAAAAAGGCTTACTATATTCTTGTAATTTTACATTATTTTAACTTATGACAAAACTATCGTAGTTTTAAGGACTAGAAGTAAATATTTATTTAGATAGTTAATCAGTCATATTAATTAATATTTACAATAATAATGTTTAATGTTAAATTTCACGTTTACTCTATATCTAAAAGTGTATTTGAATAAAATGTTTTGTATTCGGCATTTTTTTTAGACCTATTATATTAACGATAGATAAATATAATAAAATAAAATGACTTCCGTTTTTTTATTACCTGACAACAGCGAAGCTACAAGGTTTATTATGTGCTAGGATTGACCACAAGGTAAGGTATATATATAACAATTTCTTTTAAGAAAATGGCAAATTTTTATTTTTGATTGTTCAAATTATGGAGTTAGGTCCGTTTTGGAACAATTAACGCTCAAATTACTGTACAGATTGTGTTTAATAAATCTGAAATCAAAACATATATACACATTTTCTAATATGTGAATTTGCTCGGGAGATGAGAGGGGGGGCGGAGGGGTGTGGTGAAATGAATACCATATATATCAAAATAGTATTTTATTGTTAATGTTATTTTTTATTGTTATTATTTTATTTCGATATAAAGTATTCATTTGACCACACCCTCCGACCAACTCCTCATATTATCATCACGGTCAACCATCTCTACACTATTTTCTAATATTTTTTTTAGACGAATTATGTATATATCTTGGTGATCTCAATTTTATGATTTCTTTGGTTTTATGCTACACTTGTGCATGTGCAAATCACTTTTGAGTAGAGCAAAAAGAACTGTTGCACTCTTCTTTAAGATAAGAAGCTTGATAATTTTAATTTTTTCTGCTGGTTGATTCAATACAAACAATAAATCAAAATTATTTAAATTGCTCCCAAGTATCTTATTTTTATGTAAAGTATTTTCTTTTGCTCTTCAAATACGTTGCGGTTTTCATATTCATAATTTCAGCATGGGACCAACGATGTAATCAATTGACATACATTTTAATATGTTTTATTACAAGTATTGTGAAATTATTTCATATTTTGTTTTGGGAATTAGTTCAACAAAAAAATAAAATTTTTTGAAGTGTCTTGCTTAGTTTCATTTCTTTTATAATTTTGAAATAGTTAAGCCTTGTTACGGGAAATATTAAACATAGATATGTGGTTTAACTTCCGTGTGATACATTAGTGAATCCATAATTTGATTTTCGGAGAAGGGCTTCAGCCTGAAAGCTTTATATATATATATAACGATAATTACTTCGAAATAAAAATAAAGAAACTAACTATATTATAACTATATATGAAATAATGAAGAGAAGAATAGTTGGGGTGATCAGTCAAATAAGAAGGCAAAAATAAATGATACTATTTATTTTTACCTTCTTATTTGATTGATCACCCCAACTATTCTTCTCTTCATTATTCACTACAGTCAACCATTTACCAATTATGTATATATGAAATAGTGTTTAAGTGATTTTTGAAGTCCTATTTAAAATGTAATTACACAAACAATAATACTTTTAGAGATAATTTTTATCCACAAGACATGGTTATATTTAGTATCTTTATATATTTATGATTAAAACAAATAGAACATGCTGTGATTGTTTAAGTATTTAGTTTGTATCAATAACAGACAACATATAGCCCAATAAAAAAAAAAAAATTCTTCTGTTCATTTTTCCTACTTTTGGTGTCTTGAAGTTTTTTTATTTGTTACAATAAATTAGGCCATTTTTCACCAACATTTTATTATTACGCATCAATTTAACGTTTCGACCATACTAAGGGTCATTGTCAAAACTTGATGAGTCCTCCTAATATGTTCATCCTCATATGTTCTAATTAATATGTTCAGTGAACATTAACTTGTCAATTTTATAGGTGCTTCGCCCACGTCATTTCTGGAGGACTATCGTCATTCTCAGAAGGTCATTCAGTCCCTCCAGAAATGACGTGGGCGAAGCCCCTATAAAATTGACAAGTTAATGTTCACTGAACATATTAATTAGAACATTGAGGATGAACATATTAGGAGGACTCATCAAGTTTTGAAAATGACCCTTAGTAAAATTTTGGTGAAAAATGGCCTAATTTATTGTAACAAATAAAAAAAAAAATTCCATTTTGAAGGACTTAAGCCCTAATGCTGAAAAGCCTCCACACCGTAAATTTCCCAGTGGTGTAATTAGTAACTTTTTATTAATTGAAAACTTTTTTAGACGCGTTTCGCACGGAGAGTGAGATTGAACCGTCAGATATCCGAAGTGTTAACGCTCGAGTAAAATTGACTAGAGTCGACTAATTGAATTTTTTTTACATGTGGATTAAAATATCTCTGAAACTAAAATTTGGACCTGCATACTGTAACCGAAGAAATTGTTCACGATTTCATCATCTTTGCAATAGGCTATAGTTCAAAATTGTATCTTAACACAACATCCTGTTAGAGAGCGGGAGAGGGAAAAAGATAGTGTTCAAAGCAAAATGATAACGAGTTTTCTCAAAGATATGGATTAAAATATCTAAGAAATTAAAAATCGGACCTGCTTGCTGTAAGTGAGAGAATGGTTCAGCATTATATCCTCTCTGTAATGGTCTGTTATTCAAAATTGTTCCTTAATGTGACGTCGTCTTAGAGAGGCGAAAAGGAAAAAATATTGTCGAAAACCAAATGATAACGAGTTTTATGGTAAATATTGATTAAAATATCTCGAAAAACTAAAAATCGGACCTGCATACTAAAAGTGAGAGGAATGTTTAGTATTTCACCTTTTTTATAACGAGCTATTAGTTATAATATATATTTCATGAGTTACGGAATGGACTTAATCCGTAACAACTATTAATATTAACTATTATTTAATATAATAATTTAAATCATTCATTGACCTTTCTCATGACCTTTATCAAAGCCCTAGGATAGCCAGGTCAAGCTATCTCTGATAGCTTAGAAATAGTTATCTAGAATGTACTGACTGGACAGAAGACACTTATCAAGACTTAGGGAACAATAACCCTTTTCAGCAAAAGGGCACTTTCTCACAGACATCTTAAGAATATTAACTATTGATAGCTTCCTTTCCCGTCCTCTTCCGACTTCTCCCACAGACTTCATATCAATTTTAAAAGATAAGGATATCAATTCTTAACTTCATTCACACGCTTCCTAGACCGACCAGAATTGATTCATCCCCCCTACTATCCCTGAGCATATAACCCTGTGATCCTCACACCAAAATCGCTTATTCAGTTACATTCTTGAGTCAGACTCTTCACTGTAGGAGACCTGGAGTGAATTGATGTAGTCAACTTATTCAGTTACATTCTTGAGTCAGACTCTTCACTGTAGGAGACCTGGAGTGAACTGATGTAGTCAACTCATATATCCATATTATATTACTTATATTATATTTTAAATACCATTTGTAACATAATGAATAAATCCATTATTTATAAAGTCTCCACTGTCTCCGATTCGTTAACTATGTTATTAATCTCTCCTCGTTGCTGTTTTCACTTCTATCGTATGGTCTATAGTACACCTATTAGTTTTTTTTATTATTTTCAGTTATAAAACAGGAACTATAAAAATAAATTCTATATCGAATATTTTTTGTTGTTTGTATTTCATTGGGATCTAGTTTAATCCCCGTAGGTCCAGAAGCGCAGAAATCTCTTAGGTGGACCTGTGGCATATCCATTCTTTCTCTTGATTGATCGTTGTTAGCTTAGCTCTTACGAGGGTGAAAATGTTAGGATAGCTGGTCTTAATTCTAGTGCTTTACAAGATTTCTTTCTTAGGATCTGATTATGTAGATACATACACTATAAACATATTTTTATAATATTTAAAACATATCCAAAAATTATTACGTTATAAATGTATAAATAAATGTTCGGTTAGATTGATTTCAAATTTGGAGTAAAATGGTATTAAATTTGTATCAAGAATGCAAGAACTACATTCTTCTGTTTATTCTACCAATGTATAATTGATTGTAAATTAATAGTATTATAATCTATAAACTAAATGGTTAAAAAAATTATTTAGTTATTGAGAGAAAAAATCAATTTGTTTTTGTTTTTTTGGTAATCTCCAGTAGA